ACCCTGCTACAATCTTCAATCCAGCTATATACATTCGATATAATAACTAGGAAGGAGAATCACGCAGATTAGTAACAGTTCCTCTTCACATTTTACTAACCTAAGAACATTTTTGAAGTTACAAAAGGCTGGGTTAATGTACAGACTATACACGGAAGAAAACCCTATTGGGTTTCTCTCCCATAGGCCTTCGTTTTTGAGAAAATGAAGAATAAAAACTTAAAGATTTTCGAATACATGGTAAGTAATAGACATTAATTCCGGGTCTTCTCCTTGTAAGATTAAATAAAAAAAGTTGTACAAAGTTGTAACAACGTTAAAGAAAGGGAAAAAATTTCTTAAAGATTTTCGAATACATGGTAAGTAATAGACATTAATTCCGGGTCTTCTCCTTGTAAGATCAAATAAAAAAAGTTGTACAAAGTTATAACAACGTTATAGAAAGGGAAAAAATTCAATCAAAATGGACCCAAAAATCGGAGCAAGATCAAGTCGATTACAGATAGCAAAAAAGTTCCAAAAAAATTCGAATTCCATCAAAATTACCCCTCGTTCCCCTCTGAAGTTCGTTCCCGCCCAATTAATCCATTCAATTGTCCCTAGTGCCCAACTATGTCATTGTTACACGGTGTCAAAAAGCACCCTCGCGCTACACAGTGTCCCCTGTGGCCATTCTTCCTCCACCTCCTTTTATAGTATACATGTATCCACGTGTTCGTGTACATGTATACAATTCATGAGAATCGAGTACATCCGTGTTCACCCTTGCGCGCGCGCGCGCGCTCGACCATGCGTGCATATATACTCTCTCGAAGTGGCGGCCACTTCAGGGATGCACGAGCGCCCCCCGGAACACGTAGCATTCTATTCGCGGCACAATTTTCGAGGATCGATATATCGAGCGGCGTGTCCCGTCGCGGCTCGACGACGATGTCTTCAAATAGCACGGTAGTTAACGTCTCTGAGAGCCCACCCCCTCGAGGAAGAGTGGCGGCGCGAAAGCGAGAGGACCGGGACAGGATCCTTTCTTTTTTTTTTTCGCCCGACTCTGTCGCTTCCTCTTCCTCGTCATCGGTGACGTTCTTCCCCTTTTCCCCGACCACTGTGCCCGACCGCTTCTTCCTCTCGTTTCGTCTTGTTTCACCGTTACAACCCCACTTAGATGATTGTGTACAGCCCTTAAACTTCGGATGACGATACAGGATCATTTCGGACCTATAAAAATCGGAGCTGGGTCATTTTGGATCCATGAAAAATGCAGATGTGTCATTTCGGACCCGTGAAAAGCGGCGATGAATCATTTTAGACTCATGGTAGGCGGAGCTAGATCATTTCGGACTCGTGGTAGGCGGAGCTAGAGTATTTCGGTCTCATGGTAGGCGGAGCTAGATTATTTCGAACCAATCGAAGGCGGAGCTAAGTTGTTTCGAACCAATTGAAAGCGGAGCTACGTTATTTCGGACCAATTGAAGGCGGAGCTAGGTTGTTTCGGATCAATTTAAGGTGGAGCTAGGTTATTTCGGACCAATTGAAGGCGGAGCTAGGTTATTTCGGACCACTTGAAGGCGGAGCTAGGTTATTTCGAACCAACTGAAGGTGGAGCCAGATCATTTTGAACATATGGAAGACGGAGCTAGATAAAGTATACAGGGTGTCCCAACTAATGTGAGTACCTTCAATATCTCACTTGTTTTTAACCATGGTAAAAAAACAATTGACAGTCTGGTGCCATATTTTGCTATAGTTTGTGATTACATACAATATTTCAATACAAATGCTACAACGAACAAGGTTTTAGAACCAATTAGTTTTTGGTAGCATACCCCACTGTATATTTCACACTTTTTACATATATCATAAGTGCATGAAATCTGCAGTCTGATTATAATATGTTGTCATTACTTTTTTATCAACATTCTATATTTTTCTTTTTCAATAACAGAATATTTGATATTACAACGTACCATTTAATTTTCGAATCTTCCTTTTTCTTTTCTTTTATTTGTTTATTTATTTATTGTTGCATGAGCTTACAAGCCATTAGCATGCAGCTTGACACAGGAAAAACATACTCCCATTACAATTATTCTTGACAATTCCCAATTTACTCTCGTACGAAGAAGAAAACTTTTATTTCTACGTACTAAATGGCTGCTGCTCGGTTGCCTCTCAGCTTTAATGTAATACTTGAATACATTACCACTTGTGCTTTTATATAAATCCATAATAGATGCAAATAAATTCTTCCTCGAACGACAAGCCTCTTTTCGTTAATTGCATTTAAAGCGTCAGAATAATCACATGGTAGTTTTTAAAGATACACTCCTGCTTATTATTATTAGGATAGTAATCGAATATGTAGTGAATGTTACAAGACACTATAAAATTGTTGAAGGTCTGACAGAAATATTATTTAGGTGAAACTAAAGTTCGATGGACAACGCTTACGGTATACTAAGAAGTAAAAAACGTAGCAGAAAATATATCACTTTTACGAAATGTCACATTTTCTTCGTAAAAACCAGTTGTCGAATTATACAATACATTCATTGGAAATTCTTGGGTAGGGTACACATTTCGTTATTCAGAATCATTGATTTACTCGTCCAAATTTAATACTTACGAGCGGTAGTGTAGAAAACAATTTTTTAAGGGACACATAGGAATTATTTTTAGCTGTTTCAAGACTTTAAGTCGCTGCGAGATCAAAGGAACGAGGAACACTGGTCCTCGGTGGTTTGTTCTTTGCTGCTCGTTTTTTTTTTAATATTTGATGGTGACCAACAATGATATGCTTGGTTAAATATACAAATGTTGTTTAAAAAAACTGAGTAAGAGGTAATTATGGTTATTACTTTTGTGCGGTGACATTTTTCAGAAAAAAACCATGTACCTACATGATGTTGTACTTAATATTTTAATGTCTAAAGATCTTTTGTTAGAATAGATTGTTACAGTAATTATAAAAATGTCGATTGTTATAATAATTTTGCTACGTTTGTGAAGCTAATTGGGTTGTTCGGAAACTTGGTAATATTTTAAAAAATTTTATCCCGTTGGGTAAAAAACTCTTGGAGCTGCTTCTAGGTGAATTTTTGTATTCAGCGTACAATGTATGAATTTGTGTTTTGAGTAATCATTCCATGGAGCAAAGTGTGATAAGTAGGGTATCTGTTATAAAATTTTCCAGTTGAAATAGTGTATTCTTTTTACAAATTTGATGGAACTTACACAGCACGTATTTACTTGAAAGACAGTCCTTATTTACCAGATGAAACGGTGTCTCTTTCCTCTAGTAAAAAGATAATGAAACTCTAAGCTCGAAATACTACGAATATTTCGAACAATCTACCAATTAATATTAACTAAACAAGCATGATTTTGCAGCTACAACTGGGATTATAGTAACCTTAACATGTTGGAGTGATTATTTGGTACGTCCTGTGCCCCGGGTATTTACACATCATCTAAAAACGTACATACTAAACGCTATATAATGTTCATAGGGGCAAAAATACTAACTTTTTCAACGAAAAAAATCACACATTAACAAATCTACGCGAGAGAACTCCAAAACCACTTATCCCACAAAAGAAAAGTGATATACAACCTCGTTCGCGATCATCTTCTGTGATGTCTACGAAAGTGGGCTGAAACATTTTGATTTCCAATTACATTACAAATTCACCCAAAGAAAATAATAGATTACCTATTGCTACACCTAGTGCATCATCCCTCAGAACCAGCATCCATCCAACCATCATTTCTACAAAAGTGGGGACTGGAACACATGCATTCTGAAATCAAATTACATACACTACAAATTCATCCAAGTAAAATATTGGATTGCTTCCAGTACACCTAACGTATCATCCCTCAAAACCAGCATCCATCCAACTATTATTTCTACGAAAAAGGGGCTGGAACAAATTTTGATTTCCAATTACACTAGAAACTCATCAAAAGAAAAGATTAGATCACCTATTGCTACACCTAACGTGTCATCCCACAGAACCCACCATCCAACCATAATTTCTACAAAAGTGGGGACTGGAACATATACATTCTGAAGTCAAATTACATATACTACAAATTCATTCAAGCAAAATTCTAGCTTGCCAACTGGTACGTACACCTAACGTATCATCTCTCACTGCCACCGTTTACCCAACCATCGGCCACCAGATCCACGCGAGGAACCTCCAAAGCCACTTGTCCCACAGACGAAACTAAAAGGAGTCGCTTGAACGCAACCGTATCCACTCGTGAACAAGAAAAAAGAAAAGGAAAACGAAACCACGGGGCTGCCATAGTCCATTCGTCTCCAACGCTCGTTTATTCTTCCCCTCGTGCAGCATTCATCGTAGCGCAATTAGCGCGTCGGGGCTTAGTGTATCTCGAAGAAAAAACCACACGACGATTACGGCATCGCGCACCGGATGTGATGGTCGTGCAATGTTTCCTACCTGCCGCATTGGGGTAGATTCGTGCTCGTGGTGGGCACGTCGTCGACGGGGGCTACGAAAAACCCAGAGGGATTACCACCACCACTCTCGTCGCTTCAGCCTGGTACCCCCGCGCGAATACTCTCGACCCTTTCCCAAACCTGTCTTCTCTCTTCGTGTATGTACGTCACCAGCTATCCCCCTTCTATCCTCCCCCCCCCTCCCCGTTTCTTCTTCCCTCTGTATCGAGTTAAGAGCAAAAGAGGAGGGGTGACCAAAGGGGTGTATATCGATGCTGGTCCACCACCTCCGTCGCCAACCACCACCGCGCTACCAACGAGCCACCTCCACTCTTCGTGCCACTCTACACACCCGCCGACGATGAGGATTCTGCAGCTTCGGCAAAGTCGTTTGAAGAAGTCAGTCGACGGTTGCACGTCCAACGCGAGTCCGGGGATAACGGTCGAACGTCAAAAAAAAGAAAAAGGGGAAGAAAAGTCTCTCCGACCGAGGCTAGAAGGGGGGCTGCCAGTGGCCCTGGGGTGCACAGTTCGAAAATACCGATTTTCCGTTCTTTTCCTCGGTGTCCCTCGGTTGTTGTTCACATTTTCGTTTTTATTACCGTCATTATTACCGTGGGCCAATTATTGGTATATCTAATTGACGCGTGGCACGATTACAACTTCCGTTTCTGGTACGAAGAAGATGCGCTGAGGGAGGATCGAGACGAAGGATGTCGGTGGACGAGACACATGGGGGCGGCGGCATGGTCCCCGCAATACTATCCACGGTTGTGATTTTTCTTCTGCTCGGACCGACCGCGGACGCTCAGTAAGAATCCTCTGACGCGAGGCTTTCTTGTAATAATAATTATAATAATACTCGTTTTAACGGGACGAATCCCTTTGGTATAACGATAGGATGAGTATAAACGAAGACGCGTGAATAAAAGATGAAATAAGGACAGTAATGAGATGGTAAAAATATAACAGTTATTTCAGAGTAATTTAATCGTTTATGTTTCACCCTTAACGGTCACTCTTCACTGGAGCTTCATAACGGTCACACTGGGGTCATAGTTAATCCGCAGACTTTAAACGATTACCATACCCAAACTATTAATTAGTTTAGATTGAAAATAATTACCGAACAATCTTCAAACAGTGCAAAATAAGAATGAAACGTTTTATAGGTGTTGATTTCAATTTCAGTGTAGTTAAACAATCCGTGAAAACAGAAGCAGGGAAAAGTCAGTGTTTTTACTTAAAAAATCGTAACATTTTAGATTTTTAATGTTTACCGATAAAATTTTTGGGACGTTTGTAAAATTTAGCCTCAAGTTGCTTTGGAGTCAAACAGACCCCATGTGACCGTTGAGGGTTAAATGCGTTTAATGACAAGTGAAAGGAATCATCGGAAATTATACATAAGAAGTTTAATGGTTTAATATTTATCGTAATTGGTTTTGTAACGTTGAAGTCTTGCCTCTTCGCGCGGGATGTTGGTCGACGTGGCGGCCATCTTAACGCGGCCGTCAGCACCAATCCTTGTGCCGTGTTTACTCGCGTTGCTTGTGTTAACCCCTTGCCCTACGATTTTCTTGACGTCTGCAGGCTCCAGGATTACATTGTTCTCGTTAGTTTCCCAGAAACGAAAGGAGTTCTGTACTTATCGCAACTGTATTTTTACTGTAAAAGTGGCATTTCACTTCAACTGAAAGAAAATCGAATAATATTCTTCTTCATTGAATCAATTTTAAAATTGTTAACACGAGTCTGAGACGATGTTATAGGTCAAGGGGTTAAATGAACGTATTTTTATCCGTAGATCGTTGGGGTAACCGATTTCTAATGCTTGTTTGTTGCCTAAAATGGCGTAGAGATCGAGATACAATCGCTAAGAACAGTGTGTCTTCGATCGAGACCAACTGTCGTTGAATTGTAACTCAGCGACTAGGTAATGTTTATCTAAATGAACTAATCTGAACATGATTCAAAAATATCTGTATCTGTACCCTCAGTCAATTGTTGGGACAGAGTGTTTCCGACGATTGTATGGCAGTCTGTACGCCACTTAAAGAAAACACATTTGGGTATGAAGATCTTTCGTTATTCCAGATTCTGATCTTGTTTAGATTGTTTGGTTTGCAGAGATATTTATGCTTGACAGTGAGAGAGTATTTATTTCATATTTAGAAAAAGTTTTCCGTTGTTTTGATAGTTACGGAAATTACGGAAACTTCCCAGAAACTATGTTCCATACGTAGGAACAATTTTTTTGTATTCTTATTGGAGATATATATTGTACTGACTAAATATCATTTTTCGTTAGTCAGTATTGTTTCCTTCCTTTTCGTCATTACGAATTTCATCGTAACTAGTAATAATATTATTCCGACTATGTTCACAATGTTTCATATTCAATCGTTTGAAGGAATACAAAATAAATAATTTGAGTACGGCTTTAAAATATTTTGTAGACAAAATTAAATTAAAAGGAAAATATATTCTGAGTGTATCTAAACAATATCTTACACAACAAAGATTTTCAAATATTTAATACAATTATGATTATTAAAATCGAACCACTGTAGTTTCTGAACTTACACGTACATTCTCTAACAGAAAACCAATTTATAAACAATCAGATAATAATAATAGTTTAAAGCTTTAAGTTAATATTGGTAGTTTAAAGAAAATAATGAAATTGCTCAACGGTTCTTCTAACTACAGGTAAGAATTCAGAGGTTAAAATTGTTGCCGCAGTGTCCTGCAGTGGAGTTAAATGTTTATATACCTATAAAGCAACGTTACAATGATTATTACGCAGTGTATTGTCTCAGTGACATTGAAGTTTGTACGTTGCAATGACCGCTGTGAAAAACGTCCCACGCGGAAGTAATGAAACCGTCATTGCTTGTGCGAACTTCTGGCAGTACGGGTCGTGGTGTTTCTCGGTGCGTCGACATAAGGATCATCCAAGTGTGACAAATGGACGCCACAGTGTAGTCGAGAAGCAGTTCTGGGCTTCTGTGATTTCAATGGTGATTCTGTGCATTACGTGATTTGTGGATGGTGTGTAAACGAACAATGATACGGTGCAGTGAAACATCCGATTTCTCTTCGTCGAGTGGAGAGTTGAAAGACGAAAATGGTGGCACGTTCGCGAAATGTTCGCTGAAAATTAGTTACTAGGAGTGACGAACACCATTTTTTAATCACTGATTATTTTCGTAATTCATTTCTTAGACATTGAAAATACTATTCTGTTGTGAAGTAATCTTTTATTTGGTAATAACTGTAAATGTGTGTTTTGTTTTGGTACTTAGAAATTTGAAGGTAGAGAAATTTCAGTGATAAATATATCATTGATCGATGAGGCTACCGGTGATAATCATATTAGTGATCGACCGGTTAATAGTTATGTGAAATGTCTGTTGATTGTTGGAGAAGTATCGAACGTACAAATACTCAATTTTAATTTATTGTCGAAATATTAAATCTTAATGCATTTTAGAAATTCAGTTAAAAACCTATTTGTAGGTGATTATTAAATATTTGTAACCCTTCGTTGGCAATGTGGGTCGTCGACGAGCCAAGCTAAAGTTTATTTTTCCTGGACTTTCTACCGAATTTTTATTTTTATTGAAACAAGTTTTAATCGTCTGACTTAACGAACGATTGTATAATCTAGTAAGGACTTTGATAAGTGTTCTAGAATGTTTGCAGATTTTTTGAAAGCCTAAAATTGTAAGAAAAATTAGGCTTGGATGTAAACGACTCAATTTGCCTACGGAGTGTGAAAAAATATGTTTACCTAAGGAAGGTTAATATTGTAAATGGTTAACAAGATAGATTTTGATGGAAAATTGAAATTTTACATTTGAAAACGTACCCTATAGTAGTGAGGAATACATATGTACGTTTGTAATAGAAACTATTTCTTCCATCTCTTATTCTTAAAGTATTTATTTCTTGTTAATTGAGGATCTACAGCAAAAATTTGATCTGTCAATCGACAGATACTTTGCTTCACTAAAGAGATACTAATCTAGTTCAAGGAATACTATGCAATTTTAGGAGGAGCTTGGAGTTCTACGATCTTTTGCCAGAAGACCCAAAACTCTACGACAAAATGCGACCCCCGAAGAAAGATGGACAAGCGACCGTCGTCTATTTCCACGTAACCGTAATGGGACTCGACTCCATAGATGAGAATTCAATGGTATACGTTGAACACAACAGTTCAAAGTTGCTTTTTTAAAACCGCACAAAAATTTAAATATCGCTTTCAACGAAATATTAACTTCATTTTAAAAACATCTATCACAGAATTTCGATTTTAGGGGTTGTTTCTACTTTTCTAATATTTTTTTATTATAACATTAATCCTTTAACACAAAATATTTAATAAACCTTCACAAGGCTTAAACATTATTTGGAGTCTGATAGAATTATTAATGGTAACAAAATTTTTATTCGGTTTCAATTACTATAAATTAGTGTACAAAAATTAATATTTGATTAAAAATCCGTAATCTGGTTATGAAAATTGAAATTGTTCGAAATTGAATTCAAACAATAAAATTTAACTAAAAATTTATTCGTCCTATTGAGAGTTTCAGTAGGTCTGATATGTATAAAAAATTGCTTTAATCTACACGTAATTTTTTATTTTATCGTATTTTCCACAATCGACGTATGCAGTAAATACATAAAATCCGCAATTCAGTTATAATTGTGTGTATGTACCTATGTATTAGGTGTACCAATAAGTATTTCACTATTACTTGGAGAAATTAGTATTAGTCTTTATGAAACTCTGGTATATTGTATAGTGCTTCGTTTGAGTTCGTAATGGTTTTTCAACATCCTATATCGTGTTTACTCAGTGAATGGTGAGAAAACACTTTTAAGGAAAAATATATATTGCCTCGAAATTAAAAAAAAAGGATGGATTACTTATTGGTACACCTAATAAATATACATATATAAAATCTTGTGTAACAAAGACATTATAGTCTATCAGCAAATGAGTCATCTAGGCAATATAGATGAAATAAAATTATTAGGTTGTTGCATAATAAATGTCGTTCGTGTAGAGTTCGAACAATTATAACTTGTCTTGTAAAGAAAATTTGTAATTGAAGTGAGATCAATCTGAACCGGCACACTCTTGACAACGAGTTACAAATTTCTCAATCTCATGTTTAACGTTTTTAAGATGGCGGAAATGAAGCACACCGAAAAACGACATTTATTGGACAACAGTATGATACTATATAATTGCTGTGATTTTTTTTGTAGACTTACGCCGCCGATATATTTTTCGCTCAAACCTGGAAAGATAACAGACTGCGATTACCAGAAAATATGACGTCTGAATATAGGTACGTGATTCGGAAAAATGGCTCATAATGTATAAGTTTCGATAAGAAATAATGGTCAAATTCTGAAAACGATGGTTTTCGATTTTGAGTAATTTTTGTGATTATTTTTTATGTGTAGACATGAGTCTTTCATTCTCCACACTAATTAACCCCACAAAATTAGTATTTTAAAAAATTTAGTTTAAATATTAAATGCTAAGCACCAATCCAGTGCTTTGGCGTTAAAATTTGGAATAGTTAAAAAAATAGGGTTAGCCACTTTAGCCTGTGAACGGCTCATATGTTTTGCTAAATAATTTGAATATTTTGTATGTCTTTTACTGAAATTCACTGGAATGTTATTGAATATTGTGGATCAGATTATTAGAAGTGGACTGGTTGAAGAATATGTGGCGGCCGGATTCATTCTTCAAGAACGCGAAATCTGTGACCTTCCAGACGATGACTATTCCTAATCACTACTTGTGGCTGTACAAAGACAAGACTATTTTATACATGGTCAAGTAAGAAACACCAATCTTTACAAGTGATAAATATCAGATGCGTGCAAAAGTTAATGTTCCTTGAATTTAAGTTAGTATGTATTACGTTCTATTTCATTTTATTATATCAACAAAGAATTCGACTTTTAATAGAACTACAAAAAATAAGAGGAACTATTTCGAGTCATAGATGTCGTAGCAATTATTCAGTATTTGTAAAGATTTTTGAAAAACAACCATTACTATTTCGTACATCTGATATAATTTACAGCTTATATCGTTTCTAATATTTCTCGTTCAATCAAATTAAGACGTTATTATTTTCGTAAAATATTTATCGTTTAATTTTCATGTAAAACATCGTTGTTTCGTAAATGTTTCAGATTAACATTAAAGCTATCCTGTGCGATGAACTTCCTGATCTATCCCCATGACACTCAGGAGTGCAAACTACAAATGGAAAGCCGTGAGTTGTGCTCTTCTTTTTGTGCTATTCTTTACCCTTTTAGCCTTTTTTCTATCCTATTTTTGTAGAACGGTAACAGCTGTATTTTTTCACTGTTCTAGCAAACAGTATAAACCAATCACTGAGTATCCATTGTAAATTATGAAAACTTTGTCTTTTGATTGAAAAACCTAACTCAGACCATATGACTATAAAATTCGAAACATTACTTCCTGTTTAGTAAAATTCACGATAATATTCATTTTTTGATAATATCAAATACGAATATCCTAGGGATGTTAAAAATGGTCATAGGACATTCGGATATAAGCAGGACATGAAACGGACGTCCTTTGGATCTACGGTACTATCTGGGTGAATATACCCAGATAACACATGACGCCTTAAAGACGCCCATTTAATAGCTTTCTTAGGTCTGAGGCGGCTTTCAGCTGTCTTCAAGGCGCCATGTGCTATTTGGGTACTTTAACCCTTTGCCCTATAACATCGAGTCAGACTCGTGTTGACGATGTCAAAATCGATTCAACAAAGAAGAATATTATTCTGTTTTCTTTGAGTCGAAGTGTAATGCGACGTCTCTGGCATTAATATTTAACCTTTACAGTAAAAATACAGTTCGAATAAGTACAGAATTCCTTTTGTTTCTGGAAAAAAAAAATGTACCTATCATTTTTACAAAACATCACATTTTCATCATATAGACCAAGTGTTCACGTAATTATGCGTGTGTACGTTCGATTCATCCTCGTCAGCTTCGGTCGAACACAAAATCGAACCCCTCGGTTTCTCGTCAGGCACGATGACGTAAATCCGGGTGTGTTGTATCGTTTCGCACGAATAATGTCCTATTCACTTCCCCCGTCGAGTCCCGATCCTATGAGAAAACGATCTTTAGTTTCTCGCGATTCGTGAATGCCCGTGCGATTTGACAAGGACAAAACAACTCGGTCAACAGTGTCGCACACGACGGATGAAATGATCTTCCAGTGGGATCCCGACGTGCCACTCGTCGTCGACGAGAACATCGAGCTGCCCCAGCTGCAACTGGTTAAGAACTACACGGCCGATTGCACGCAGGTCTATTCGACCGGTGAGTTGTCACGATTTTTTTTCTTTTTCCGTTTCGTCCGCGATTTTCCTTTATTCTCTCTCCTTCCTCATTAATTAATCTAATTAACTGAATGGGGCCCCCGATTGGAAAACGTTTTCTCGCGTGAACGATCTCGTATGAAAAGGCAACGAGGATTCTGCGAACGATTCACAGTACCTTCGTCGTTTTCGGTCGGCTATTGTATTCACGCGTACACGAGAGATTCAGACACTCGGATGATTAAATAGAAAGAGCACACTACGAGCAGAATTGTTGTCTGTAATCACTTTTGAAGATGACAGCGTTATGCTCGAAAATAGATTTATGGACAGTCTATAAACCGACGTTTAATCACGTTGCATTCGGGAGCTTGATAAATGTGTTCGAATTATTTAATTTATGGCTGGTTTTTCTTTAAATTGGACATTTCTACGTTGTAAATGTGGATATTCGAGGTGTAGATTCCAGGTTACAGGATTGAATTAACTAAAAAGTTGAACAAAAACAAAGATGATTTACAATAGAACACATTCGAGATATTGTAGCTTATTTTAAGGCGAATGAAATGTAATTTATAAAGGGGAGAAACAGTGACATAACAGTGTTTTCAATTGTTGACGCGACTGCGTAGTGTAAATCGAAATTGGACTATAAAAACTGAAAGCTCATTAACACAATTATGACTGTTAGCGTATCAATACGCGACTTGGTTTGTCTGCCATTTTTAATAATACTCGATACAGTGATTCCTCGATGAATCCGACACAAGCAACGGCGTTATTCCCACCACTGGGGGAGTTCCCCTTTGCAACCAATCAAAATAGAATAAACAGAAACTAAGTAGAGGCTCGGCTTCGGGTAAAAAAACAAATTTATGAGGGGCTGAAAACCTATCCGCCTTGCCATGAATGCTCCAAAGCGGACCCGAATACGTCACACTTATTGAGACATTACTGTATTTGAAATATTCATTTTTTTCCAGTTGTGCAAATTGCTTAGGAAGAATAATAATTTGATTTTAGTACGTTACAATTTCTTGTTTTCACATTTCAAAATAATTTACATTTATAATTGTTTTATTGACACACGACGATACCTAGGCACGCGAGATGATTAAAACTCGCGGTCGTCAGTGAATACTGTCTTATTCAAGGATTCTCTCAATTCTGTACCCGTGTTATGAAACTACCGCGTTATATAGGGGTTGCCTATAGAAGCGGTTTTTATAAACAGGGATAATAAGAATTTTGTTCAAGTTATAATCTAAAAAACATTTAATCTAAAAGTCATTTTTGTACAAATTAGGATCTCTGATGGATGAAGGTTTTTTGTTCTCTAGGTAATTTCACTTGCCTCGAAGTAGTGTTCGTCCTAAAACGTAGGCTCGGCTACTACTTGTTCCATACCTACGTTCCTACATGTCTTATCGTTATCATGTCGGTAAGTGGACCTGATCGTTGCTTGTTGTTTTTGTCATCATCATCATACACACCTGCATCATTCATTTTCGTGAAAAATTCTGCATGAAACCTAATCCCTTTTTACAATTTACCATTACTTTTATCATTTTTCTCCTCTCATTTATTTACTGCTAAACTTTCTCCTCTTTTAATCCCTTCTTGTTCAATATCTCTTTTTTTTTTAATTATTCCTTATTTTATCGAATATTAAAATTATTTCGTCGACTTTATCATTCACCATCGTAGTTGCACGATAATTGCAGTTACTCTTGTCTTATGTTTCGTATTAATTCGTATTATTTCGTATCATTTCGTATCATTTCGTATCATTTCGTATCATTTCGTATCATTTCGTATCATTTCGTATTATTTCGTATTATTTCGTATTATTTCGTATTATTTCGTATTATTTCGTATTATTTCGTATTAATTCGTATTATTTCGTATTAATTCGTATTATTTCGTATTATTTCGTATTATTTCGTATTACTTCGTATTATTTCGTATTACTTCGTATTATTTCGTATTATTTCGTATTATTTCGTATTATTTCGTATTAATTCGTATTACTTCGTATTATTTAGATTATTTCGTATTATAACCGCTGTTTTATTTCTGAATATTTGCAATCAATTTTTCCATAAAAATTCCTCTTTCATCGCGTTTTTCACACCGGATCGAGTATACAGGGTGACCCATTTCAGTCAATCCCCAGGAATTTCTTCGAAATTGTTTATGACACCTGAAAATATTTCAAAGTAAACTTAAATGGTTTCTAGGGGGACCTAATTTGATGTCTGTAATTATTTTTGTATATGGAGGCGTAGAAGACATATGAAGGTCAACTTTATTTTTTTTAATAGAATTGTGTACTTTTTCAATGCACTAGTCGATGCGGCTGGCCATTCTCTATAAAAGAAGTATCAAGCTATTTGTGTCCAAAAACCATTTGTTTAGAAGATATTTTAATTTCAAAATAACAAAATTCTAAAAGTGGTTCTAGTAATACAATGTTCACCTTCCTAAAGTTGGTATTCACAAGTGCGTCCATAGACATCATGCGTGATGTTCAAATTAAAATACCTCCCAAAATAGTGCTTTTTCGATATAAGTAGGATAATAATTTTTTACAGGGACTGATGAGCTGCAACGATCAATGCATTCAAAAATATATGATTGCAATTTAAAAAAATAAAGTTGACCTTTGTATGTACTCTACGCCTCCACCTACAAAAATACTATTGCCATCAAATTATACTCCCCTCGAAACCATCTAACTTCTGTTCGAAACATTTTCCGGAATCATGAATGATTTCGGAGATACTCGAGGGGATCGACTGAAATCGAACACCCTGTACATTGTGAATAAGCTAAATCGAAAATGTCGTCGTTTCACAACCGAATCGAAAAATCTCGTGAAGACATCACTGTCTCCGTTGAATGGGAACTAAATTGTCCGTATTATTGCTCAGTGGGTCTCCTTCTGGATAAAACCGGAAGCGGCGCCAGCCAGAGTGACGCTCGGGGTGACTTCCTTGCTGACTCTGTCGACGCAACACGCGAAAAGTCAAGCGTCCCTGCCACCTGTCTCGTACTTGAAGGCGGTGGACGCGTTCATGTCGGTGTGCACGATATTCGTGTTCATGGCGTTGATGGAATATTGTCTGGTGAACATCGTGCTCGGTGATTCGGATGCGCCAGCCGCGAAACCGACGCCACCGCCGGCGCCCCCGTCTTCCAGTGGCACCGATACAGCGAAGCTCGACAAGATATTCGACATCGCCACTAAGGTAACGCCTGGATAGAAGATTACCTGTGTGCATTTATGTCAGACAGCTTCTGTGCCTCGGAGAAAGACGTATATACAGAGTGGTATCACCCAGAGGGAAAGAATTTCGCGTACGAAAACCATTTACAGTGATCCCTCGATGAATACGACACGAGTTTATTTCCACCACTGGGAGATCCCCTCTGAAATTAATCGAAATAAAGTAAACAGAAGCTTAGCAGAGATTCGGTTTCGAGTAAAAAGCTAATTTATGAGGGGCTGAAAACCTTTCCGCCTTGCCAGGAATGCTTCGAAGCGGACCTGAGTACGTCGCACTAATCGAGACGTTACTGTAGGTGCATACAGGGTGATGAAAAAGGAAGGTCTCAGACTTTAGGGATTGATTTCGAGACCTGTGTTGATTTTCTTAAAATTTCTAATTTCTTAAACTAATCTTCTTAAAATTTCTAATGAACATTAGTCTTACAATTAATTCTTTGAAAATGAAATATAGAAATTCTGTTTTTACAGTTGTTACAGATGTTTCATATGTCTTCCTTTCATTTTAGTATAAAACTCACGTCTGGATTTTACAAATATTCTTCCGTATCTGGTATTGCCTGTTGTCATATAGCTGTGCAATGTTTTCCTTTTACATTCAATATGTTGGGAAGAAACTCACTTACGATATCGAACGTTTCTAAATATAGAAATTAATTTTACACAGAAAGGATTGACTTTAGGACCCACACTAGTGGGCAAAAACGTCACCACTTTTCTGACTTGTTTAATATTTATTCTTTCTTGACATCAATTTAAAACCTTAATATAGTGGATTTCACGCAGATTTTAATTCTTTATTAAAATATATATTAAACGCGTACTGAAGTTCTAGGTATAGGTTCGAAAATAATAAAAGTAAGACAATTCGGAAAAGTGGTAACCTTTTTGTACGCCACTGTATATTGGTCCCTTTTCCCGAAAAGCTGGCCAAACCTCCTAACTTCATTGAATTTTCATAAAAATCCCTATTCTCGTGTTTTTGGGGTTGCTGAATTCGAATACCTTGTTAGAAATTCAAAATTTAATTTCACACGTAATAACAGCCATTGGACAAATGCGCGAATTTTGTCTAATGCCTGTTAAAAAGTTATGGCTGCAAGTTTAATGCAATATTTGCTATAAACAACTTGCATGCACATCAGCAGCAACATAGACTCTGTTCCGTTTTTGTCCCCAATTTGACACAGGTCATGTTGCAAGACTTGCTGCCAATTAGCTTGATCATTTAATTAACTGAGGTTGCTTGCAAAACCCAAGTCAAATGCGGAAACAGATGGCTATGGTTTTTTTAAACAACTTTTGTCATTATTTGCTGGCAATTTGCTCGAAACTTGTACACAACTGGTTATCAGGGTATTTACAGAACAGAAATGAAAACTGAAAATGTAAAACTTCATTTGATAATTTAGTCAACCTTTTGATAACCTAAAGGAGCCGCCGTCGACCCACCGATTATACATACATATATCTTTTTCGCAACTCTCTCGAGCCTCGAAGAAAGAAAAATGAAAAAAAAAAGAAAAGAAAAAAATGTTATAAAAATACATTTTCTCAGATCCTTTGTAACTTTTATTACGACACGACATTAAAGAAAGTAGCTAATTTATAAATTTGTAAATTTTCAAAAGTTTGCCATATTTATCGATCGATCGAAAAAGATATGCGTTTATCGTTGGTAGTTCTAGTGTTAAATGTGTCATACTAGCAACAAGCTGTTACTTACTTCAAAAACTGAATTTTCGCCAACTTTTCGGGAAAAAGGACCATTAGTGCGCCGCCGCCAAATGTCGTACAGTGGTCCAGAACCAAGAATTAGCTGTTCACATGCTAAAAAATTGATGTCCTCATATCGATGTTTATCGTATGTCTCTCGTTTTATAAATGTCCAGTGTTTCAGAAAACGGTGAAACTAATAAAATTTGTTACAAATCGTGATTAGAACGAGCATTTAAAGTTGAACATTTTCTGAATCCTATTTTACCCGAAAAAATTGATCTATCTTTGTATTGATACTCTGAAGAACCTATTTGACGTAATGTTCTCAATTTTTTTTTAAATAATGAGTATTTCCTTATTTTGAAGGTGCATTTTGGATTAAGAAGCAAAGTTTATAATTTCTTGAAAAAAATAATACTCAATGAACTAAAGACAATCGTCTAAGTTTTCCATAATTGACGAGGGATATATTTTTAGTCCCAAGTCTTCCCGCATTTTTGCAAAGTAGCATATTTTCATTATACTTTTCCCTATATAATCATGCAAGAATTATGTCCCACAACGTCCCACAAACGAAATTATTATTGTTTGAAGCGGAACAGTCGCTGGAATTGCGTGACGCATTAAGAGGCTCTCCTGGCTTTCATATTTTAATTAAACTGTTTTTGCTGCTAAATTGCAGTATTATTGCAAGGTTAAATAATAAAACCTATTACTCCAAAAATTATGGATTATTCTGTTTATTTAACTATAAAATCATGCAATCATGAATCTCAATTTACACGTCATCACGATTTTTCAGGTATTTTCGATGCTCTGACAAAAAAATGTGTCGAACAAAGATTAATCAGCACTTTCTCTTCTACAAATTCCAATATAAAAAATTAATAAAGAAAATTTTTTTTAATAAAATATAAGGTCACCTTGATTTTGTTATGGTCACTATATATTTTTTACTTAATAGTATTATAGCTGACGTCAAGACGAATTCAACGACCTATATATTATTGTCCTTAAGTAGTGAAATAACGTTAAAATAGTCGTGAACAGCTAATTCGTGTTTCGGGATCACTGTGCGTCGTCCCTATCCGCGCGTTCGAGTCTCCGCGGTAAGCATCTCCGAGGCACAGAAGCGACGTCTGGCGTCGCGACGGTTCAAGTTGTGTTGATCGTTGTCACGCAGGAAAACGCAATGTTGTTGTCCGGCCGATCGCAGAAATCGCCAGCAGGTCCACCGCCCGGCCCGACGCCCGCCCAAAGGGCGCGTATGCGCGCCCTGAACATCGATCGTGTCTCGCGGGTCTTCTTCCCGTTCCTATTCGCCCTATTAAACGTAACCTATTGGATAATGTTTGCCGAGTACATTTAAGGAGCCGTTGTCGACCCACCGATTATATATCTTTCTCGCAACTCTCTCGAGCCTCGAAGAAAGAAAAATGAAAAAAAAAGAACAGAAAAAATGGCGGAGAAAAGAAAGATGGGTAAAAAGGAGGAAGCAAACAACGGTTGTGTTTACTTCGAGAGATCGCGTTTTCCTGTATCGATTGTGAATACGAGCGGCGACAAGATGGCCGCCACTCGAGGCGTCCGCTATCAGATTACAATTAATAAGGTTGTTTTTTCAGGCTGTCGTCGTGTCACTACTGGCAGAGCGTGACGATGAAGATAGAAAACTTGTCGAGGGTTAATTTCTCAGGGTAGATGGATAAGTTTGGTACAGTCGGACGGGGAACGAATCTTATTAGCATATGTATATAGGACGTATAGGTATTAGAGATCATGGCTTTGAACTATTAAAAATACATATGTAATTAATATACCGGTGTTTCAGTCCGTGTAGTTTTTAATACACGGGGACACGGGTACTGAAATACAGAAATCTCTCGATTATCATCTGGCTGGTTCTACACGATTATTGTCCAGACGTTATCCCCACCATTGGGAGGGGGGAGGCCGTGGAACCTGTCGAGCGCATATTTTGTTGCCCCTCTGCTTTTCTTGCCGAGGCTCTGGCTTTGGGAAAAAAACGAATTTACGAGAGTCTAAAGCATTTCTGCCTATAAGATTATTGTCCTGAAGTGAACCGAGTTCCGGACAATAATCGAGAGGAGTCTGTACACGGGCACGAGCCATTGCACGTCAAAACGCATGAGGAATTACGGTCACAGTAACACATTTTTTTTCAAATTTGCAACAGTTCTATCGTTTTCCCAAGATAAACTGTAAACATTTCGTTCGACCATCTCGGTAATTTGTAATTTTATCACCTATCGTAACAGATAGAAAGGCGTATATGTATATTTTGTACTACCTTCATTTTATTAATTCGGTAATTTATGGGAATCGAAGTACGTCAATATTTATAGACATTTTAAGAAAACTATTAATAGCCTATTATATGATAAAACAAAACGCGTGGCGTTATGTTTGAAATTCAACATTAATGTCATTTATGTTATTAATTTGATCATATAAAAATTCCGTGGAATGGCTCATACTCGTGTATTTTCACTCGTGCATTAAAAACTACAAGGACTGAAACACGGGTACCTTAATTATACGTGTACATGTGTATTTATATACACATGTAATCGAGGTCTCTAATAGGTACACGTATCTTGTAGCGTTGACTGGAATAGACTGCGAATGTTTTGTGGAAGTATGGACTTTTGCGGATTAATTTACTGAAACTGGAGTCAGACTGAAATTTCTTTACTCTCGAAAGGATTCTTCTAAGTTCTAAATGAAACGGAAACCTTGTTACGGTGACAACAAACTTCTTATTATACTGAATTTTAGACAACTGTGTATGGTGTAAATGTATGACATCTGCAGTCTGGTAATAAGAGAAGATTTTTCTTCGTTATTGGAACGTATGATTTCTGAGGTCATCGGAATATTGTTTTATTTATATGGGACACAAAGATTTTTAGTAGTTGTTTTTTACAAATTACGGTAAATCATCAGGGATAATGATCGTATGTTGTATTCTGTTACTCAAGGGGTTTAAGCGACAATTTATTCGAATTTTTATTCAAATTATTCGTTTCGTATTTTAATTAAGTTATTCATTGTCGCATGTTTTATCGGATAAACAACAACGGCTTTAGTTAAGCCATGTTGATAAAATGAACGAAATAAGTTATTAAGAATATGAAAATAAAGGAAGTTCTGATATCATTTGAAAATTTAGTGACAGTAAAAAGACAGAAATAAAATGTATTTAGGAATTTATTGAAATTGACTTGAACGGTACTATAGTACACGAAAGAATTTTGAAATTATTCTTTTCGAAAACGACAGTTTCTTCTACGATTTCTCTTGTTTCCCGAGATTCATTTTGTTTGGTCTCGACTGTACCAAAATTTTCAATCTACCCTATGCAACAAAGCAGCGTGATATAGACTTCACATAATAAATTCGTTTTCAGCTCATTTATATCTGCAAGAGTACACGAATTCAAGCTTTCAGTATGCATAGGCTGTAAGTTTTGCCATATCATAATTAAAAAATGAACTAAAAAAAAAAAAAGAACAGAAATACTCGAAGTACGGTGATGAGATCATTAATTACATTCGTACAATGTTGACTGGTACGGTGGTTGATCTTCTTGTTCCGGAATGAAAGGGATCGGATACGATAGAAATTGGTTTGCATCGAGCAATGAATACGGACTGATTGCGCCTGAATGAGTGATCAATGTGTTATATACGATCTCGTATCAGATGCTTGTATCGTTAGTGAGGCGTTAAAAATGACTTATCGGAATATTTGCCCGCATCGTTTAACTCTTCTAACAGAAGAGATGGATAATCGTTTTCATGTTCGTCGAGTGAATCGAGGAATTTGAAGGAATTTTAGATTACGATTACTATCCAATTATTCGAAAGCTTTTTGTGAATTGCTTTTGAAAAAAATTATTTTTCTGTAATGATCGCATATTAATTACTCGTAAACAATTACTTTCCAATTCATAATTACATATTGGTGATGATAATTATTGATTTCTGAAGTAAATTAATTTAAATAACTTAATAACTATACTTTCATATTTCGAAACTAAACTATCGAATTAATATCGTTTAACTATAAAGTCCGTGTTTGAGGAAAGTTACTCGCTATGATACTTCCATGCTCCGTAACTGAACATCATTTACACGCGAAGAAGGAGTACAATTTTAAGATACGGAAAAGACCTCTGTAATAACGAAGAGAAAGATGGACTACTAAACGTGTCCAGTTACGAACATTAAAGAAAACGAAAGAACTAATATAGGTATTACGTAATGTTATCACGCTATTAACTAAGTTTGTTACGACGTAAAATTCTAAACATGCAGATTTTTGTAGTAGCGGTTTCAAACATGATTTACCAAATTTTATCGAAGTGTTAAATCGTTAACGAAACCGAGACGCGGTCTATGTGTGACGTAGCCCGTTTCGGGAGGAAAAAAATGAAAAAAAAAAAAAAAAAAAAAAAAAAAGAAGAACACGGTGCATCGAAAGAGCACAGTAAAACTGTAGAGAATACTGAATTAACGGCCTCGAACGAAAGAATTCGGGTACTTTTGATATAATTATTATCGATGGGATCGAATTCAATATGAATTGATAAAAATCAAACAAAAACGAATAAAGTTCATTTCATTGTATAGATTTACAAAAAAAAATCTAAATTTCATTTAAATTTCATTTCTTTAACTTCAATTGATGTTTGTAAGAATAAATATTTTATTTCTTTAATATACCATTAACTATCACCAATATGTATGTGGTATTATTCAGTCGTGTTCGAAATCAACGATACAAAATATTTCACGTTCTTTTAAAATGAGTACCTACATGTCGAGCCATTTTCGAGTATTGAAGTTATTTTTGAAGGTTAAACAATCAATATTTTCACAAATACATTTAGCATAGACAGGTTTTATATTTATACGTATCGTTTTTTTTTTGCGATTGGAAGTATTAATAGGGAATTCGAACGTATGTCGTCGAGATTGGATACTATTTCGCATTTGGTCCCATCGTTAATAATTGTGCAATATGTCGAGCGGGATGCCTCGTGTACAGCTAATAGAAACAGTAGTGAGACATTTCGTTTAGAGAATTATAGCGAAAAAAAAACTATGTATCTGCGAAATCCGACCGTAACGGGGGTGCCCACATTCCTTTTTAACGATTAGGCTTTTTGGTCGCCATACATCTCTTTGTGACGTGTTTCATATCTTCTATATTAGATTTAAATCGTGAATGGAAATTATACATTCAAATCTACATATGCAGGGTAAAGGGAAAAACAAGGAATCACCCAAAACAGCTTTATTGAAAATATTAATTTTCAATTCTTTAGTCCACCACTGTTTTCAACAAGTACCTACATGAAATCGTTAACGTTGTCTTATGTGGACAGTTTATTTCGTAATTCTTTGTGATTCGACAATCCTTTAGTTACAGTTGCTGGCAACAAAATGAGTTGTTTCCCATAAAAGCAATAAAAGTGCACATTCCCAGCTTTTCCCCTTTACCCTTCACATTATGACCACTAGTTTAAAAACCACCCCTTGATAATTATATTACAAAATTTCAGACACATTAGACCGTAATCAATATTTTATTGTATATATCATTTAACTGAGTGCAGTGTAATGTTCTAAGAATCACTTTATGTTTCCTCTTTCTTTTAACTGTTTCTAGTGGAGACGAATACGTATAACAAATGAAAGTCAATGCGTAGTTTTAAGACTGAAATTATAGAGTTTAAACTCACAAACGTAAGAATATTCTGTGAGGTACGATGAGAAATTAAAAAAGGAATCGCTAAATTAATTGGCTTTGTTTAAATAAATTGAGAATGTTAGTCCTTACTTTATGACGCCATTTAATTATTCGTCCAATATCAGCAAAACTTATTACAGCGCTTCTTAAAGATTAAATCTTAAAAATATTCAAAACTGTGTGTGCTAAACAATTCTACTTTACCTTCAATTTTTTTCAAGTTTCTGCTGATGTTCGTTATTCGACAAATACTACGCCTGTGAATTATTAACTCAGAGTTAAGCAGAATCCCTTAGTCGTATAAAAGATCTCCAAAAATACAATGACGACGAAATACAGTGGCTGCCAAAAGTTTTCAGCTGAACTGTATTTCCCCCATACCTACGCCATAACTTTTGGCCCGTATTTGTTAAAAACAGGAGAACAGATTATTTTTATGCAAGACAAATGTTTAATGTCACCAAGTCTGAAGAAGCAATGTATCCTCAATATTAAGAATTAAGGGTATAAATGGTATATCAATTATTTATTCGTGTTACAAACTCCTTTCGATTATCGCCTGGTTTGCTCTACACGATTATTGTCCAGGCGTTACCCCCACCACATGTCTGAAGCATTTCTCCCTATAAGATTATTGTCCCGAAGTGAACCAAGTTCGAGACAATAATCGAGCGGAGTCTGTATATATTTTTAAAAACATACATTTAAATTACAGTTTGGCTGGATCCTTTAGCAGCCACTGTATTTCGACCACGTACGAACTAAGAGAAATATATCTAAATAAATTAATATTTCAGCGTTTTAATATTTAATACTTCAGTGAACCAAATTGTTCCGTAAAATAAAGTCTGTTTGAAACTTCACTTGTATTTTCCACAAATTTCGTATAATCCGATAAACACAAATGACAGAGACCAGTCGGAGTGTCAAGGGCTCGAAAGGTGTCACATTTGTGGAACAAAAACAAGCGTTCCTTTTTGGTCGTAGTGCCACAAGGTCAGGGAATGCATTTCCGCCCAGCTTTTATCTTTCGTTGAGAACGGCCGTGCCGCAAAGAATGAAATGGCGGCGCGCAAATGGGCGCCCCTGCCACCCCTCGTTTAAGAGAAATAACGCGCTAACGATCGATCGAACGACTCGAAACTAGGGAAAAGGAAAAGGAAAAGGCAATGCAGTTATTAAACTATGAGCAAATTGAACTCATTGTGATTCTATAGTCAGATCTCTTTTAAGTAAGATTTTCTATCGGTTACGATCGAAGGCAATACTTAGGAACCTGATATTAGCGAACAATAATTGGTGAACGATTTTTGATTGTTTATGTTCAGTGATGAGTGATTAAACTGTTCAAATATGTTTAAACTTATGACGAAATGTTTGAACGATTCGAACAGTGTTCGGTCGTTTCAAACTTTGAAATGGCCGAATAGTGGTCAAACAGTTTGAACATCTTATGTTTGAAAATGTCCAACCTGCTTAATAATAAAAAAAAATGTCCAACCATGTTTGAACTGTTTGTTCACGAACTTATCACAACTCATGGTGCGATGAGTTAGGTGTTCTAGGTCATCGTAAAATGGACCATGAAATGAAAGGAAAGTATGCTCTATTATTCGTTAGTTCACGTGATAATTCATAGAGCATAATATTTGTTACTGAAACTGAATAACAGTCAAATTAATTTCAGACAGGTAAAACAATATTAATGCAAAAGAACACTATGTTTTTCACTAAAATATTTTAGCTTCAATTTAGATCCATACTTTTAGATAGGAATTATGATTTAAATAGGAAATATATTAATTTTCTGAGTTCACAAAGAAATATTTTTGTTAGTGATTGGTATTTTAGTGCGTGGAAATTGTAATCTAATATTGAGGTTGATAGCACCACTGATCGCTATTTTGTAATGGAGTTGTTTGAATTGTTATTCGAACCTTCGATTGCAACCGATTGATCGTACAGATGCACGAAAGAAATTAATATCGTTGCTTCGAGAACAGGCCGTTCAGTGAAATGGTCTTAATTTTCCTAACGTAACGTTTACTTCCGTGGCTACATTAATTATCACTTGCGTCACTTTCGAATAATTGAGGAGCGTTGATATTATTGCTTTCCGGTTTTAAGTGAAATTAAATTTTATCCAAAAGCGAGAGAATCTATTATAGAATAGCGAACCCGTCTTTATCCACGGTGTAACTTGAGCGTCACCGGATTTTAAAACGCTGAACTTTGAGAAACTGTATTCAGTAATCAAAATACAGGCGCATTGAAACAAAATTGTTAAAGTGACTTAATTAAAGGTGGAAACTATTTACGATATTAATTAGCGAGTACAAAATGTTATATTATCGTCGGTTCTCTTTTAGAAGAAGTCATTTTCAAGCACAATCATTGTACATTCCATTGTATTTAATAACAAAAGCGTCATCGTCTACATATTAAATTGATGATAATAATTGTATCAACATTTGTAATTATTCCAATCGTATATTTTTATATTTACTTTAATTTCCTTATTCAGTTTGTCTACAGAATGGAATACAAACATGTTTTTTTCGAGAGAGAATTGATCTTCCATCATTCTGCTTTATTTTCAAATTAACAAATCCAAAGCCTCAGCAGTTCTTTTTGCTTGTCTTAATGTCTTTTAGAAACGAAAGGAGGCAAATACAGATAGGTTTTTAATTTGTATATCTTTATCTCAATGATATTAATCTGTTTAATCATTTTAGAATATTTAAAGTTTTATATTATTTCCAGATGTCTCATGACGACGCTCATTTTACGACTATATTAGGTCTGACGCGCCTTTAGTGCTTTCTGGGGTGTTATATGTATGTGGCAGAGATTTTAACCTAAACTATTCGTACAATATTTCAACAATAATATGCAAAGTGTATCATCAAAAATCGATAGAATCGATAGATTCGCGTAATTATTGCCACTTTGGTCGTATAATATCCGAGAAATAGCGGCAATAATTTTTTTACGCGACGGAAGTGTTCCTTTTACTGGTGGCGTCATCCGTGACAAAACGTTCAAGGTGGTAGCCTGTTGTTACCGATAGAAAACTGCATGATGAAGACTTTCTTCGCCATCTATGTATGTAGTACCACCGACTAGGTATATATCTACACTAGCGCTCGAGCCTAATGAACTACCAGCTTGAGAGTTTTGCCGTAGATGTCGACGAAGGTATTATTGACCAAATTTTCCTTTTTTGTATAAAAAAGAATATTATTTAAAAACAACGAATTGAGGATTGCTAACGCAAAACATTGACATAAAAATTTTCAAAGATAATTGTAGGAATAAAATGGCATCAATTTCGCCTGAATTTTCACACGAAAGATAGAGTGTAAAACTTCTGATAGAATTCTCTCAATATATGATATATTACTTCAGAACTGAAAGATGCACAAAACTGGCAAATAAATAAACGAAATTTTATTATGTACTTATATAATTTATAAACGTTCTGTTTATAAAATTCTTTTTCAATAATTTCTAAATTCTTCGAATCTTAATTTCATTTTATTATTGTTAATGTTAGCGTTCAGTAAATATTATTATATCAATATTAAAATATAATTTCTTATCTTGTTTTTTGTTATAATAAAAAGAAATACAAGAATTGGATGTTAATATCCAAAATCTAGAACATGTACTTGAAATATTAAAACTGAAGTTATTGCAATTTCTTCAGTTTTAATTCCACTTATTTTTATTCTATTTCACATTTGTTTTATGTTTACATTTATGTTTACCTCTTTATTAAATTAAGAAGAATCTATTTTAGTCTTATTCTTTGTTCTTTATAATACATTATTAAAATATTAATAAATAATATGTACATACCTCTGTTCCTTTGCCAATATATTTATATATTTTTATATTTTAAAGTCACTTTCTTTGTAGGTCCTTCATTAACCTGCTTATTCTAATTTTCATTATATATGTGGGAGAAATTTATACAGTTAAAAAATAAAATTTGAACATTCAAATGTGAAGATTTTATTGGCTTGTATTGGTTATGTCCTCACGTTTTGAAATATTTAGATAGATGGGATTTAAGACCACCTGTGAAGAAGAAATTAAATACAAATTCATTATTATTGTCAGTGAGAAATAGTTGTGATAAATATAATAATGAGGAACATCGAAATAAAAGCCAGAATCAATGATCCAGAACTTATAATTTCTATAACCAAACAATTGACAGATTCTGCTTGCATTGTCATAAAGCAGCATGATACTTTCTTTAAAGTAGATGAAGGACGATTAAAACTACGAGAATTTGAAGTAAATACATAACACTTTTGTAAAACTTTTGCTCATTTCATGAAGTAACAATGTCACTTTTATATACATTTAGTATGAACAGAGTGTAATATGTGAAATGTAAACACATAGTTAAAATCATGTGTCAAGAAGAATGGTGCTTGAAATGAATTATTACATTTACATATATTCCAAGCTAATATTAAAAACAGTAACGAATAATGGTATTTGATACTGCAGGATGGTACAGGAGAATTATTATATTACAGAAGAGTCAATATATTGGGTCCAAAACTATGTAACTATGAAAAGACAGTTCTGGATCCCGAAGCATGTATTGGAATTAGAAAAATTTTAACTGCATCAAATGGTTGTATAGGTATTGTAAAAAAGACTAGAAAGTTGTACATGGTTGGTCAAACTCGGGTGCACATTGATGAAGTTGATGGTTTGGGTAACTTTATGGAGTTAGAGGTACTTATTGGTACAACAAATATATTTTATCATTCTTGTCTAAGACAAATTTTGATCAATAATAATAATAATTAAAATATAAATTGCTGAATAATAATGTACTATTACTACTTTAGGTTGTTTTGTCCGATGAAGAAGATGTGGAAACTGGGGAAAAGATTGCTCAAGACTTAATGACTAAATTAAACATAAAAAATGAAGATTTAATACCAGATGCATACATAGATTTACTTAGTAAACGTTCTGTATAATTGTAATAAATTATATTTATACATATATATATTTTGTACATTAAAAAATGTATGATTTATCATTAATGTACGTACTGAGTTACAATAACAATTCAGTATTTATACAACTAGATTTTAACACCTACTCCATTAAGTTATTTAAAAGACAATATGGAATATTTGAATTAAAGTATGAATAAAATAGTACATTCTATTTAGTACATTCTACGATACACATAGTAAGCATTATAGCTCTGAAATTGTCTGTTAAAATTATATCTTATGATTCTATTTTGAATATGTGGTCTATTCCATGAAATATAAATGTTAGAATTAGTAGTTTGATCGTTCGTTGATATATTATGTAAATCACTTTACCATAAAATGCTCCGAAAATAATGGTTATTGTATATGCGTATTATCTATCAATAGTTAATTCACATTAATCATCGGTTGCATATTGTTCATTAGAAGAAAGGAATAAAAACGAAAGGCGCGCGGAAAAGAAATGGTGAGAATGAAAAGGCAATGGTATTCTACTATCATAACCGGGATACGATATAGCGATAACACTACCCACGCTTCTCTTCCTTCCTCTTGGATGATCACGTTCACTCGTTACATTTCGCGAGTACGAGATCTAACTTAACGTTGTCTGCCATGTTTAAGGGCACTGTACTCTATTGCCTTACTTTTGCACTAAACAAAGTACAATCCTTTATATTCTTTATATTAATAGTTCAGAAATATTTTCTTTTTTATTACAGAAGACAGTTGGACTAACAAATCTTTCTTCTGAGAAAATAAGAATTTTCACGAAAATTTAGTATAATTTGTGCTCCTCCTGTTTGGAAACCATTATTTCAATATTCAAATACCTATTGGAAGGAGAAAAATAAATATTTAAGTTTTCTATAAAAATTATTCAAACTCTAGATATAATTCTTCACTTTCAGAAGAGGAATTAATTGTTCTCTGAAGAATATGAAATATTTACAGTACACGAAGAATTGTAAAAAAATATTTGTTAGTTTATTCTTGCACTGTTCTGCGCATTATTATTTTGTTACTTATTTTTAAAACGTTCAGTTGGTCCTTGCTGTTGAAAAGCAGGAATTCCCAGATTTAAAGGACCCTTTCTCGAACGTGCTGGGCTGAATTGCCACTATAGAGAGAACCTTCAATTATGTTTTACGACCCGAGGTGCTGGTCAGTCTCAATGGTGTGGTGGTGTGACGTGCCAGTTGTATATAAACCATTCGTTCCGTAGAGAGCTGAAGGAAAACGACTACAAGTGTGCTGCACGTGTGAAGAGCAACCGGCTGGTACACGAATGGACATTGTGTGCTCTGCTGATTTTGTCTCCCTGTGCCAGAAGAATCTTCGTATTCTGAGTATTCAGTTTTTAAGTAATCCCTTTTGGTAGAAAAATGTTTACACAATTTATTACGTTAAATGTACTGTTTTAATATACATCATTACATTAAAACTACAACTACCAGCACTGAATGTACACTATATTAAATTGTATAATATAGTAATATACTCAATATATAATACAATTTAATTTAATATAGTATAACATAAAATGTGTAGTAAATTAGAAGCCAATTCTTTCTTCTAAAAACTTCACCTAAAATACTATTATAATTTCAGTAATCCTAAATAAGAAACCCGCAATGCGTCATTTTGACGGGTTTGGTAGTTCTAGTGTTAACTATTGAATGGTGGAAATAATATAATAATAACAATAATTATACAATAGTTTATTTTTCAGCCTGCCGTCCATGAAAACGAACTCAGTTTACGTTTATTGCTCTTATTCATTTTACACACTCAGAATGATCGAAGTATAAGAAAGTATATTAAGATAATTTCATTTTACCGATTGAAGTAGAAAAATGTTTATAAATTATAAACTATAATAAATCACCGTGTGATATTTACAGTTCAATCAGACCAGACACGAAAGAAAATAATTGTATTGTTTTAAATATTATAATAATATACATATTGAGGGTTGCGTAGGAATATTTTTCAAGACCTGTCGATTTGTTATTCTATTTTGCTTGGAAGATGGCGAAATTGTTTGAGTTACGTGAGACAAGCTGCGCGAAGTATAAAATTTGCGAACAGTGGTTTATTGTACTGCAAGTAACACGATACTCCAATATCTTTGTTCAATCGCTGCCTATGTTATCATAATTTAAATATATTCTTCATTGATGAAAGGAAGTCAGACATAGAAAGAAGATTTATAAAAAAATTCTACAAAATAGTTATGATTAAAGTATGAATGTTTTAAATCATAATCTGAAATAATTAATATATCCAGTAGACACAACTATAATGATTGCCATAATCTTTGCGTTGCAGCAGCCGCTCTATCAAATTCAATTTTTCAATTAAGCTAATTAATAAAGTAAATACAACGGGTTGTAAGAACATTTTCAATGTTTCAATTTTATTTTAATTTCAACCTAATTGAACATTTAATAGGAAAAGTACATTTACATGTATTCAACTCCTGTCTTTGACGATGAATCTATTAAGTTGTTGCACAGGAAATGGCGAATTTTTTTTAGTAGTAATTGATATTACATTGTGCTTTAACAACCTTTATTAAACGACGTCAGATTGTACAAGCTGCACGAAATATCAGAAAATTTAGAAAATTCGAAGCTTCACTTCAAACCCAAAAATTCGAACAATCGTAAAGAACTTACAATTAGTATTGAATTTCGTTTCCATTAACTGCTTATTTTCATTCATCTCGATCAATCCTCAACTAGTTTTACTACCAAAACGAGCAATCTCTCGCAGCAAAACGAAATGAACATACTTAACACTGAAATAGTGAAAAACCACCCTTGATCATAACAAACCACACTTATTTTTGCATGTGATTTATTATTGAATCACTTACTTTCTATGAATATTTATTAAAGTTATTCTTATTACTAGACAGCTGATTTTATGTATTGACGGTACACACGATTGTCCAAATTTACTGTACTAAAAAATATAATAAAACGTGATCAGGTTTTTCCTTTACTAAGAACTAGATAGAACCCTTAATATAATAAACAAATTTCAGTTTAATTACAGTCCCCATAACTGCGGATCTTTATGCATTTATAGCACCTATTGACTTGGAAAATCCAACAAGATAAGAGTTTTATTATAAACGTAGTAAACCATCCAGGAGAGAATTCAAAATTCTGCTCTATTTTTATTTTTGAAAATTGAGTATATTTGAAATTCTGAATTTATATAAACCTCTGCAGGCTACCTATTACCATTCCCATTCATAAAACCGCAGTCAAACACACGGAACCAACAAAACAGCTGGTTCACACGCAGGACCACACACCATCGAATACCCAAATTCCCAAAACAAAGAATGAAACCACGCTGCGGCTAATCCCCTTAGGGGCATTCCACGCGAAATCGGACACTTTTTGGAGTAACATTTCAGATTTTGTTGACACTTCGATATGTTGTCCAATTTAGTGATATATAAACGTATCTCGAAAGTTTTTTCAAAATCTTACAAATTGTTGATTCTACAGCTGTTTGAAATATAGTGTCAACCTTTTTTCAATAAATTATAACTATGGAACTAACAAACCGATCAGAATGAGCTTTGTGGGTGCTTATAATGGAGGCCTAAGAGTACCTACTAAAAATTATTTCAGTTAAAAAAAATATTTTTTAACCATTTATTTTGCAATTGTTTTAAGGAAATGCAATTTTATAATAGCGAGGCACTATTTAAAATTTTTTAAAAACTGAGGAATATTTGTCCTTAAAGAGGACAAATAGGACTATATCCTCATCTTTTAAAAAAATTTTAAATACTGCCCCGCCATTATAACAGTGGATTTCTTTAAAACAATTGCAAAACAAATGGTTCAGAACAATTGTTTTTAACTGAAACAATTTTGATTAGGTACTCTTATATCTCCACTATAGTCACCCACAAAGCTCATTCTGATCGGTTTGTTAGCTCAACAGTTATGATTTATTAAAAAAAGGTTGACACTATATTTCAAACAGCTGTAGAATCAACAATTTGTAAGATTTTCAAAATACTTTCGAGATACGTTTACATATCACTAAATTCGACAACATATCGAAGTATCAAGAAAATCCGAAATATTACTCCAAAAAGTGTCCGATTTCGCGTGGAATGCTCCCTTACGAAAAACATTTTCTTGCCCAGTTGCCCCCGCATCGTGCCCCCCTCCCCCCATTCTACCATTCTCTGCATCAGCACCCTCCATTCTATTCGAGCAGAGAAAGAGGAAAGGAGCCTCATTCTACGTACGGCACTGGCCACTGTCGGAGGTCGGAGGAGAGGTTCTCCTTAACAGAGAGAGGAAAACCGTGTGGCGAGAGACGCGTCAGCCAGGCGGTCGAACGGCGTCGCTCCCTGTCGTCCGTTCATTCTCGATCTTGTGCTCACTCGGGTCCACGGTGTGTACTCTCTGTGTGTCTTCCCATATTATACATATACCGCCGGGGGGATCGACGGTGATACGGCGTGTGGATCGTTTCGATCGGTTCTGGTTTTTCGGGTGTCGATCGCCGTCCAGGAAAATCTCGACGACGACGACAACGGCGCGTCAACTCTCGTGGGAAAGATATCGCTGCGTTAGGTAAGACATTTCCAATGCGGTTCGACTAATGGTGTGTGTATTCCCGTTTTGTATATGGTCTGCAATCCAGACTCTGCATCACGCCTATCGATGAGGAGATGCAACCGGCGCTATTGCTTGTTAACTGTGAGATTCGTGTGTGTGTGTTTTTTTTGTTATCGTTGACGACTGTGATTGAACGCTGAATGATTGTGTTCTGTTGAAAAATGTACACTGCTGTACACTGTTGTAATGTTTGATTGTGCTATAAACGGTATTGTTTCTTCTGTTTTTATTGATATTAGAATCACCAAACAGTCAAAATGACTGGTTGGGACCCCTATATGACAGTGATTGAAATGTTGGTGCAATACATTTTTTTTTAGACTTTTCATAAGTTTTGTGGTAGTTTGAAAATTAAGAAATTGGTTGAGATATATGTTTGAATGTGTTCGGAAGGTTGTCAGGTTCATGTATCGGATAGAAATGAATATATGGTCGTCTTGGTAGTACTAGTGTTAATAAACGTGGAGACAGAATAGGTTTTCAGCCTGACTCGGTCGAGCCGGGTCACTTTTGACCCATGTTTCTAGACCATAATTACTACTAATGAGATTATTACTAAATAGATGATGTTCAGTATCTAAAACTTCGGTATAAATCAAAAGTGACCCATATCGGTTTTTTTCCTTGATTAGTGGTTCAAGAATTAAGAGGGGATGTAAATATTATTAGGAATGTTTTTTTTTATTACGGAGCACTGGATTTTAAAGAAATTAATTTTACGGTGATAATGTTGGATTATACTATAGGTATCATCGTTTTTTGTCTTCTTCATAACAAAACCTAGACGCAGAAAGGATTTTAAGAGGGGATGTAAATATTATTGGGGGATGTTTCTTTCGATTATGGAGCATTGGAATTTAAAGAAATTAATTTTACGGTGGTAATGTTGGGTTATACTATAGGTATTATCGAGCTTTGTCGTTTTCATAATACACCTAGACGCAAAGTGGATTTTAAGAGGGGATGTAAATATTTTAGGGATGTCTCTTTCGATTATGGAGTACTGGAATTTAAAGAAATTAATTTTACGGTGATAATGTTGGATTATACTATGGGTATTATCGAGCTTTGTCTTTTTCATAACAAAACCTAGACGCAGAAAGGATTTTAAGAGGGGATGAAAATATTATTGGGGGATGTCTCTCTTGATTATGGACCTCTGTTATGGATCTCGAGAAGCTTATGTGGGCTTGAAAAATATATTTTACGATTGTAATGTTTCATTATAATGTAAGTAGTTCAATTAAAAAAAGTGGTTTCATCATATTGTCCTTTGCCCTCTTTTAATGAATGTCAAAGCAGAATGAGTTTCAAGGGCGGGTGTAAAAATTATTTAAGAATGATTCTTTTTAATAATGAAGGGCTGTGATTTAATCTTAGGAAGCTTATTTGGGCTTAACTAATTTATTCTGCCATTGCACTGTTGGGTCATAGCATTAGGGTTGTTCTTCCTTGCCTTAGTAAACTTAGAAATAGGTTAGTCGTGGCAAGAGATTTAAAAGTTGACCGAGGCTAGTTTTTTTCTCCAATAATTAACATATTGTTTTATTTCAATAAACATAGAAGTAGAATATTTTCGAAGAAGAGACGTGAAAATAGTTGTAGATGTTACTTTTTTTAAATTGTTTTTTAAATAAGTGACTTGTTGTTACATCGGTTCATACCGCAAATTATGTCGCCTTTTGGTTTTCTTGTTTAAATAGATACGTGCGAAGTTGATTTAAAGGGCCACCTTAAAAAATAATTATTGGAATATAGTTGTACAAAAAAAAACTGTTATTATATTGTTCATTACGAATAATAGTATTGATATGTTATATTTCAAGCTTTCAAAGTCGATGCCTGGTATAGGGTGATCTTGTAGTGTGCACTCTGAAAAATTCGGAGCAGCCATTGCTGTTTACATAAACGATGCATTTATGCATCAACGTATTTGTTTCATCCAAAAAACTCTCACTAAAATATTTTATCGATGGAAGAAATTACTAAGAATCCACAATATCGCAGAATTGATACACTATTCTGCTGCATCATCGGAATTGAGTAATTTTTTCTGTGAAACGAAGGTTTCACGATTTGTCATTTTAATCTTCCACGGAAAATTTTGATAATTGTATTGTAGTTCAGAAATACGTCGTTACAGTTTGAATCTTTTATCACGTGAAACAGATTATTTAATTACAAATTACAATAGACTTTTAAATAGAATACAGTAATGTCTCGATGAGTGCAACGTACTCGGGGCCGCTTCGGAGCATTCATGACAAAGTGGAAAGGTTTTCAGCCCCTCATACATTTTTTTTTTACTCGTAGCCAGCCTCTGCTTAGCTTCTGTTTAGACTGATTCCAGGAGGACCCACCTCAGCGGTGGGAATAACGCAGTTGCTCCTGTCGCATTCATCGAGGAATCACTGTAGTTTGAAAAGTTAATTTTTCTTGCCACACAAAAGCTTTGCAATACCGACTTGGTCTTAGCAATCAAGTTTCTACAACTTAGGACTTAGAAGATAAAATACAACAAGTATTTCATTGTATATTACAAAAGATAACTGCAGCTTTTTAAACACTGTCGATAGGCTGATGTTCTTAAAGAATCTAATAAAGGATAAACTTCGTTATCACCTTAATCACATCGAAATACTATTAAACTAGATTTAAAACTTTTTATATGTACTTCTTAATAAATTTGTATTGTCATTAATAGTTACTGCGATTTTTCACATGTTTTGTCCGGTTTGGTGCGTTCGAAAAATGGTTCACCTATTTATCAGATGCTCCAAATTGACTATACGATCGCTTTCATTCGGTCGTTGAACTCCAAATGTTAAACATTCGCGAAATAACAGTTAAGTTCGACATATTTTCCACTAGAAAAATAACGTAGATAAGCTGGAGAAGTGTAGAAGTATAATATAAATTTCATTGAATTCTTCTAATTGAAGAAAATGCTTAATCGATAGTTTGCAACTCTTGCACGACGATGTTCTCGAGATAAGTAGTGTACTTCCTGTGTTGATCGATTGAGTATGTAGAGTATTCGATGTTTCGGGAATTATACTAAATATTATATGCTGATGAAATCTATATAAACTTTTTCAAACTATTTTCCATACAGAATGTTTAACTTTTGTGTCATATTGTTACCAGGCAAAAGTTTTAACTCTTCGTAAATGATTTTGCTTTGAATTGCACGAGTGTGCTCTGAATAAGTCAATTAAATATATGTAAATAAAAATAAGAATCATCACAACACTTATCTGAGTAAAAGTAGTGTGTAAAATATAGTCTCAATAATATTTGATAAAATTTGTGAAACGAAAACTCTAACAAAAATTCATGCGGTATCCTGTTCTCTTTTCTATTTTTAAATCAGTAAACTTTATCATTGGTCATATCAATGTCTCTATGATTCTGATTTTTTTAAAGTAGCCAATACCAAACATCGAAATTTGCATAACGACAGCTTTTGGCTTTTAGAAATATCTACAGTTGAGTAATAAACAATTCTACTGTTCTAGTGTTACATATTATGTTTATTCTTTTTAATTATATTAAACAAAGTTTAGTTAAATATACATTTACTTAAATATATGTATATTAATCATAATTATTTTCGTAAAAATATATATGTAATTGAACAACAAACTTATAGTTTATTATACAATATTACAAAAACCCAATTTGAATTTCACACGTTAATTGAAATACTCGCTTCTGTCGATTATAATGAAACAATTGATAATAACTAAGAGTTACGAACCCTCGCCTCCATTGTTGCAAAATAGGGAGCTCGTTCAGAAGGGTCAATAAAACGGACAATAGCATCGACAGGCCTGATGATTCATTGAGTTCCAAAGAAAATAATAAATCACACACCTCGAATTGGTTTTACGACAATTCATCGATGGCAAAACAGTTTTAAGCTATAATCCTTCTCACAACGAAAATTCGATGATTCATCAAACGCATAATTGGACCATTCATTTGACAAAGTAATTAATTGCACGTAAGAATAAATAGAAATTGATTTTGAATATAAAAAGTTAAGCATCAATCAAATGCTTTGGCATTACAATTCGAAAAAATTCGAAAAATTAGAATTATCAATAAAATATTCAATAAAACTGTACTGCTTTTCTTTTACAGATGGAAGATAACGCCCATGGCTTAGCTCTGGTCCGAAAACTTTGAACGACAGAGGGTAGGAGTGAAAATGGCTCGAATATATTCTTGCGAGACGGTCCTCGCAGCACTTTTGTTTTTATTAACTATTGTATCCAGTAAGTGTTTTATTTTTAATACACTAACACCTACTTCTCGACTGTTTATAATTATCTTCAAACGTTACATCACGCGCCTTGATATTAACAAAATTCTGTTTCACACGAAAAAAACGTTGTAGATAAGATTGGTTACAAGAAAAATGTCACAGTTGATTTGTACATATTACTTTTACTAAATTGAATAGTTTGTTTTATTAACTAAAAACTCAAAATTAATTTAAAAGTCAGGTATCGAAAATTCAGTATAGCAAAAGGTTTAGTAAAGTCCAATGAGGTTTTTATTTTATTCAGAACCTAAAAGAATTCTTAACACAGTAAGAACTATCAATTTGATTTCAGTTTCTCAGAACTAACGTATAATAATCTATATTTGCATAAATATTCGCAGTCTGATGATTAGAAAACCGTCTGTGAATTCGAATGTTGAAACATTGAAGTAGTTAAAACGTAACTATGTAGTTAGGGCTGATCTATCCACGATCGCAACATGCTTTCCATTCATTGCTCTTACGAGAAGACACTTTATCCATTACGATTAGATAACGATTCGACCCCACGACCTGGCTTTCTTCGGAACTTCTCGAGTTTATTTCGGTCTCCAAAATCTAAGCGCCCTAGAAAACTAAAACATAACTATCAGAAAACAGTAAGCAACTTATTAAAATACTCTCCATGAATTACAATAAGATTTTTATGCTACATAAGAGGCATACAGATCGACTTTCATCGGAAATTTTAAAGACTATATATTTAAATATTAAATTTCACAAATGGTACTGATTGTCACCAACTCATTTTTAAACATGAAAAAGAAATTTTCCATTCAAATCAAACTTTTTAATCATTTTGGACCTCGCATAAAAAAATTAATACTCCGTAGACAATGTGGGCCTGGCAAACGAAATTTTATTTTTCCCTAACTTTCCACCGAATTTTTATTTTTACTAAAAAACGATTTAAACATTTGACTTAACGAACGATCGCGTAATGTGATAGAGACTTTACTAAGTATTTCAGAATTGTTATAGATTTTTTTAAAGCCTGAAGCAGTAAAAAAAATTAGGCTTAGACATAGACGACTCAGTTTGCCTACGAAGGATTAATAACTTTTTATGTACTATCCTTAAATTTCTAATTTGTAATATGAATTCCTTAAGATTTTTAATCGAGATGGTCGGAAGTTATTAAGACACATAATAATTGTGTAGTCATTAATAATTCCTTATTTATTGAAATTGTTAAAACTGTTTTAAAGTAAATTCGTAATATGATGTTACATATAATATCATAATGTCATTAAGATTAAACTTACATAGTCATTATCAAATTTTCTATTTATTGATCCAAGCATTAAAGAAATTTTAACTTAGTTACATGGTAGTAATGAATGGATGAAAATAATTTAAGATGCTTGTGATATGATTTATAAATGTTTCTGGATACAAACGCAGTCTTTTCATGGAATTTTTTATTGTGGTGGTTTTTGTTCCATTTTAGGGTTTTCATTCATTTTAACGACGAGTTCCAGAGACGTCACATGATAAACATCCGGTTGTCCCTTGCGATAGCCTCTACCGGTAGTAGAACGTTACTTGATAACTGCACATTCTAGTTTAGTTTAAAATTTTCACCGAGAAACTATAGTTTCCAGTTTCCTTTTTCCTGGAGAAGCTTTTATTTTCAGGAAGATATTTTCAGTTTAGGGTTTTGAAATCAATCTCATCTCGATCAGCAAATTTCAAAGGTATTTCGTATTAGTATTTCATTTAGGGTTTACTATTGTAGAACATAGGTATGCAAATTTGTAAAGAAAATTTCAGATCAAGTTAAAATACAGAATTGTTAATTGTGTAAATATATTGGTCTATTTGAATTCTACGAGTGACTAAAGAGAGCAATTTAAAGAAAGTTAAAACATTCGGAAATCTATTTGGATTTAGTGAAGATATTCGAAAAAATTGAATTTTGAAGTTTCATGGTGGAGTATTCAAGTATAACTCGATATTGATAAAATGATTTTTATATTGTTCCACATTTAAGTAGTAGAATAGTTTGAGAATTTGTATATCTTTATGTTTACTCCACAATAAGGTTAAATAGTTCAATACTTATAAAATAATTTCTGACACGATATCTCCTCATATACAATCTTTATGAAAATGATTTTGTATACAATTTTGGTTTGTGTTTCACTCGTACAGACTCATTTCAGTGGAAAATAATTAACAATAAAGTTATCAAATTTCTTTTGTAATGAAATAAAAAAAGCTGGTATACTAACGAGATTATTTATTTTTTTTTTAGATTCTGCGGATCCGCAATATGGTAATGACAGACTTACTGTTAGAGGTGAGTCTTTTTATTCTTATTTGTTAACCTACGACGGAAACATTTCATAATTTATTTCAGTCAACAAACTTGCAATATCTTACACTACTTTATTTACATATAAGAATAATATAATATGATATATTTAATAAAGCAACATTTCAGTGATTGACAATTTTCAAATTATACTTCGTAATCACATTTGTGGTTACATTGTATTATTATAAAATTATTTTCTCATTCGTGTATACAGGGTTATTTTAAATTAATATCATTAAATTTACGGATACATTCTACATGTCAAATGTACAGTTCGAACACCACTATAATAGTTTGATCTTCTTGATATTTTCTTTCCAAGGCACATTGTACCATTACATGACTTCAAATCACAATTTTCATCATTTTCTTAATTAAACCTCGCATGACGGACGTGAAAGCCTATGGCTGGGTCACGCATGACACACAATGGACATTATATATACTATAGAAAAATATTACAATTATCTAGAAGAATTTGTAAAAAAATAATATAAAATTCACACTTTTGTAAAAATTGATTTTTGTTCATTTGACAGATTCACTCTCATTCCTAAAAACATTAAGGCCTCCTAAACGAACCAACCTCGTCATGCGAGGGTTAAATGACTAATATAAAATAAATAGAATTTTTTCATTAATTTAGAAAAACCCTGTAATGGCGTAATAAAAATTAGTAAAATAAGTCAAGTAATTAGTAAATCAAGTAAAAAAATATCAAATAGGAAAAAAATGTATTTCATTAAAACCGTAGCAATCGTATTATCATAGTAGAAGAGCAAACAGGCGTCACAGGAAAAGTACGCCTGTATAAAAATGTATATTAAAAGTAAGCCTGCACTTGAACACTTTCTTCCATAATTTGTTTTCTATTTGCAACCAAAATAGAAAATTATTTACACTTGTAAGTTACAGTTTTTAAATTCGTTCTTTACTAGCATTATAAATTCGTTCTAGAAAAGCTGAAACCAAAATGTCCGACTCGTTTGGGTCTACATTTCAGCTGAGTACATAGATATAGGCTATCGAAATGGGAGGTTACGGTTTCACTTCTCTTAAAGCCTCGACATTAGAATACGTAGAACTAGATACGAGTAAGTATCCGCGATAAAACAGAACGGGGTGTTATAGGATCAGTCCAGAGAGGAGATATGTCACCCATGGAGGTGACGGCTGAGCGCCATAATTGGCCAACGCTGACCGTTCCTAGCCCAAGAGGTAGCATACTTGCTGGTTCCAACAGATCCACGTTATATCGTTGAACAATTAAACACCAGTTAACGGCATGATAACGTTACGCAATTCAGAATTAATCCATCCGTTTAGGGAATAATCGTATTTAACCAAAGATCCTTCGATGTTTCAATAATGTATTAATCCGATCAGAACGCTCCAAACGGTCAATGGAAATTATGTTTAGACCCTTTTCTCGTTTAATGTTGGTTGAGGTTGGTGTCGAACGGTTTCTGAGGACTAACCCCTTGGTCTCTGGACGTTTCGTTAACCGTTACCCAGTGTAAATAACAAAAGCGTCACTCCGTAGCTGGCGATGTACACTGACCTGCATTAATATTCAATTACCATGGTACTTGAGAAATTATTACTGTATATCCATACTATTTATGGGATCAATGTATTCGTTGTTCTTTAATAAATTAAAACACTTAATTTGGTTGCTAGAAACATAACATTCGTTTATTTAATTTATACATTATTCTTGTTAACGAACGATAAACGAAATACAGTATATCTTTGATTAACGCCTCGAAACTGGGGACCGTGTTGGAGCAGTTATCGCAGAGGGACACGATTTTTGCACTTCATGAACTGCATTTCGGACCGAGCCTCCATCGTGTGGAAACCTCCAGTAGTGGGCATCAAGCAGAAGTCATCCGAGCACTTATTGAGAATTTACTGTAATGCCTAATTCTAGCATTGCAAAAATATTCGGATATCACATATGCTTCAGAGAAAGTTATATAAATTACGTAAAAACAAAGTGTTATGTTTTTAACAACTGAAAGAAGTGTTATAGTATATATTATAGTGTATATTAGTTTATATAAAAAATAACAATTCTCTTATTTTCAAAATTAGTATAGATACGCAACAATATGTATGTCCAAGTACCACTGTGTCCGAATTCTTAATCTGGTTCACTGTATATTCATAACAATACTCGAATTGGTTGAAGGGATTTGGAGATAACCAATCGTGGCTAACTTGACCTTTTCTTTGTGAAACGATTTTTTAATATTCTTTTTAATGGTGTTAGGTCCACACATGAAGAGGAAGCACCCATGCGAACAGAGCTCTTGTTATCCCGCCACCGGGAATCTGTTGATCGGTCGAAAAAGCCGATTGGAGGCGTCCTCCACTTGCGGTCTCAACGGACCGGAAAGATACTGCATCGTTTCGCATCTGAAGGACCGGAAGAAGTGCTTCTTCTGCGATGCCTCGTTGCCGAAACAGCAGCACAACATCGAGAACATCGTTAGCGGGTTAGGAAATAATTTTTTGATCAGAGTTCTATAAAAATATTGATTTTTTACAATTCCTTGTTTCATATTCAAAACAATTTCCCCGCCATTTGTTAGAAATATATTCCATTACTGTAATCAGCAATCATTCGCTGGTGAAATCTGTATTTTTCTTTTTAATTTAATTAACTACATTTTCCAATTTTTCAAATTGAAACCTATACGTTATAAAAAGGTATAGATATAAAAAAATCTAATGTTCATGTACCAAATATTTATTAATATTATTATCAGTTAAAATACCTTTGTAATAGTTACAAAATCTCTTGACTCATTGTATGCGGGCTATCTTCTGCACTTTCACCTGGCGCGGGTCATTTTTGGCAATTCGGCTGCGTTAGTAAGGGATTTCAAGAAATCTCTCTAATTATCAATTTATTGCGAATTTTTATTTAATCTTTTTTTTACTATTCCCTCGATGTCTTACACTCAAAATACATTGTTTATAAATACTAGATATTTTTTTAAGGTTAACAATAAAGAACGCTAGATATTAAATTTTTTTATTTCAAAATCGGTTTATGGGGTTATATTTTCTACAAAACAATATATTTGAAATTTTAATAATATTTTATGGTATTTATATATGGTGTTCCGCAGACTACACTGTTCAACAGCCGTTTCTTATAGATTCGTGTGCCCTGAATACGAATCTGCAAACGAATATTAGCCAGTACCCTCAGCTTTCGAGAAATTTGATTTTGAACAAAAATGCAAATTGTCAACTTTGAACATTTTCTCTGTTCAAACGGTCATAATTATTTGGTTATTTGTTATGTCAAGTTATTCTATGAACTCTCCCAAATAAAATAGTATACGTTGTTATTGCATTATGGACATTTAAACATGTTTAAACAACGTTCAAACGAAAAAGAACACCCGAAATGCAGTAAGTCGGTATTGAAAAAAAACGTGTCTTACTATTTTTGTTCATGCTTTTTGAAGGTAAAATCTGTACTGTATCACGTGGTCCAGTCAGAATTTCTTCTAGACCCTCACTTTTCGAAATACATTGAAAAATATCTGCAAAAATTGGTGCATTTCGGGTGTCCTTTTCCACTTGATTGTTGTTTAAACACGTTTAAGTATTCATAATGCAACAACAACATATACTATTTTATTCAGGAGAGTTTATAAAATACTTATACATAACAATCAACCGAATACCTATGACCGTTCGAACACAGAACATACTCAAAGTTGAAAATTTTCATTCTTCCTCAGAATCAAATTTCCCGAAAACTGAGGATGCCGGCAAAAAACCATTTGCAGATTCGTATTCAAAGTAAAAAAATCTATAAGATACTGCTATTAAATGCTAAATGTGCGGAAAAAAAGTTAAAATTTCTTGAACTCTGCTATCGACAGTGTATGAAAGAACGTACTAATACATGTCTGGCATACAATTTGTTAAGTGGTTCATTGGCACGTTTACCCTTACTTGTTAAATCGTTCTGAACGCAAAACATATTCTTGTGCGAATTTCAGGTCCTGGTGGCAAGCGGAGAACGGCGTGGAGAACGTGACGATCCGTTTCGATCTCGAGGCGGAGTTCCATTTCACCCACATTATAATCCGTTTCAAAACCTTCCGACCGGCCGCGATGCTGATCGAACGATCGTACGATTTCGGCAAGACATGGAAGGTGTACCGTTACTTCGCGCACAATTGCGAACAATACTTCCCCGGGGTGTCCACCGAACAGCCCCAGACATTGACAGACGTTATCTGCGAGACGAGATACTCCGGCGTGGCGCCGTCGACGTTGGGCGATGTTATCTTCAGGTATGTAAACTTTATGATAAACACACATTGTTGGGACCATCGACTACGAGCACGTAACTATGTTTCTGACCAGCGATAACCTCGGTGCCAAGTGTAATTGACACCTGATGAATATGTATACAGGGTGTCTCAGCTAACTTGATCACCTCGAATAACGACTCAACGATGGACTTTATGAAAATTTGAAACCGTAGAACTTAAATGGCATCAAGGAGCACATCTTCTGAGGTACGTGCTTTTTTTTCTGGGTGAAGGTATTTCTGAGATTTGAAGGTCACCTTGATTTTTTCTAACGGAATGACCTGTTTTTTGTACCATAGATCGATAGAGTATCAAATTCTGAGAAAAAATGTGTTGATCTTCGTATGTCCTAAACTTAATAATTAACGAGATATTTACAAAATAATCACTGTATTGAAGTTGAGGGGCATCAGTTCCAGCACTTTGTAAATATTTGTTAATTATTAAGTTTAGGACGTACCAACACATTTTTACTCAGAATTTAATACTCTATCGATCTAAGATACAAAAAATAGGTTATTCCGTTACAAAAACTCAAAGTGACCTTGAAATCTCTGAAATGCGTCCACCCACAAAAAAGCACGTACCTTATAAGATCTGCCATTTAAGTTTCACGCATCAAAATTTTCATAAAGTGTATCGTTAAGTCATTATTCGAGGTGATCAAGTTAGCTGAGACACCCTGTATATAGAAATGATACACAGATAATACACCCTTTATGGTTTTCTTCTTCGAAGAGTGTCTTTTGTGTATATACAGTCCGTTGACTGAAGACAATTTTAATGTTGTCACCGTGTAACTCGTACATCGTTATGTATGCAAATAAAGATTTTAATGGATCAGTGTACAGAGAGTGGAATGAAATGTTTGTTTAGACTGTTGATAGTCCCGTCAGGTTCACAATGAGACCTTGTTAAACTTGATTAATTTATTACTTACTGTACTGAACTCTAGATGGTCGTGTATACTGTGTTTGGAAATAAAACTCATATTTTTTTATGTCAACATATCGCTACTTTAGAAAAAACCGACACAAATTCGAAAGGTATCGATATAGGGGAAACGCGTTTTAATTGAATTGTAAGTCGAATATCACTGATTTTCAAAAAATATCTTTTACCCTGTTTAAAGTACACACTTAAAGTTGACTTTAGTAACCACATTTGCATTATGGTTATGCAAATAGTAAGAAATTTTACATTTTTTAGTTGTGTTGGATTATATTTTTTAGTCTACGGAAAGGTATTTAATATAATATAAGAGTGTATGTATAATAGGTTAATCTGTCAAGTTATCAAATTTGAGGATTTAAGTGATTCTTGTAGAGAAAAAAGTATGCGCTCTTTCCAGTGAGACCGATTCTAGGTCCCTAGTTGTATTCGTTGCTTCGCAATTTGTACTTAGAAATGGGGAATGAAAAATAAAAAAAGAGGAACGTAAAAATTTCGATACACATCATCGAGTCTGTGTAATACTTCGTAATTTAAAAAAAAATCATAATTTCTTCAGTAACTTGCCACATGCTCTCATTGATCGCCCACGCACTTGTATTCAATTTAGTGGACAGCATTTTGAGCATTATTTACATCGAAGATTAATTAGAGAATATCTCGGTAAATAATAGTTTTTGAACCCACATACCTTAGTAATTTTTTATTCGGCATTCAATATTCTTTCAAATCACTAGCTTAAATATTACACATTATGATACAGAAACTCAAGGTCATCTTCATATCTCGATAAAAAAGCGAAACATCAGAAAACCAATTATCACATTGTATGCCCCGCTTGATATCAAACAACTTTCGTTGGAAACATTTTTTCTATACAAGTGGTTTATGAATAAATTTAGGCGATACAGTTAAATGACTCACCCTGCATATAGGGTGGACCACGAAACATGATCAGCTTAGAATATTCTACTGTTAGCTGTTCGATCGAAAAATTTGTTTAGCTAATATAACATGATTCAAGAATAAAACATATTTAAAATTTATCTTAGTTAATTATATTCGTAAATGAAACTTTTCCATTATAATAAAATATAGTAAATGGTAAGTAATAATACATGAGCAAATATTAAGGAGATTTATAATTGGTGAGGATTAATGCGAAGGATGAGCCTGTATCATTGAACATGTTTAATATTAGTTATTTATTATTTTCAAATAAATAAGTAATATTTTTCACCAAAAAGGTACAAAATATTTTGTGTAAAAATTCTACCACCAAAAATAACATAATGTACCATTAGTGGTACATGTACCACAGTTTGAGAAACGCTGATCTAAGCTATTCACTGTATGTACACCCACGAGCAAACTCGGCTTCTGCTAGGAAAAAAAGTAGCGTAGGGAAAAGGTCTTCTACCATTTGAATTCGAAAGTTTCTGAAATTTATGCCAAATTACCATGCATTTAACATTTATTTCAGTACTTGAAATAAATTTACCAATTGCTAGGAGGCCCTTATCCTACGTCACTTTTTCTCCTAGTGGAAGCCGAGTTTGCTCGTCGATGTACATCTGAATGTTCCATCATTTCGTATCACTAACCATCCACCAACCACCATCACCTAATGTTTCTCGCGTCTGGTGCTTGCAGAGTGCTCCCACGAAACGTCGAGATCGACAATCCCTATTCGAAGGAGGTCCAGAATCTCCTGAAGATCACGAACCTACGTATCAACATGACCAGGCTGCACACTTTGGGTGACGATCTGCTCGACGACAGGGCGGAGATCCGCGAGAAATACTACTACGCCATTCAGAACATGGTGATCCGTGGATCCTGTTCCTGTTACGGCCACGCATCCAGATGTCTTCCACTTGCTGGTGTCGCGCACGAGGACAACATGGTGCACGGCAGGTGCGAGTGCACCCACAACACCACAGGCCTGAACTGCGAGAAGTGTCAGGACTTCTACAACGATCTACCTTGGAAACCAGCTGTTGGCAAACAGACGAACGCCTGCAGACCCTGCAACTGTAACAACCACACGATATCCTGTCATTTCGACGAGTCCGTATACGAGAGGACTGGACGAGTTTCTGGTGGTGTCTGCGACGACTGTCAGCATAATACCCGTGGGCAAAATTGTGAACAGTGCAAACCGTTCTATTATCATGACATCACTAAGGATATCTCGCATCCAGAAGCCTGTCTACGTAAGTGCCAGATTTTTTGTCGCTGAATGTTGAAGTGGTTTGATCTGACGTTCGTGGAGATCGATGGCGGTGGTATAATTGATTCAGTTCACTCTGAGGTGAACAATTGATTGTTGGGTTTAATTGTGAGTAGTGTAGGAGCGTTGGAAAAAATGAGGGTCCAAACGGGATTCGAACCCACGACCTCCGGCGTCGAAAGCCAAGACTCCTACACGCTTATGGAGCCCTCCTATTTTCCATTAATGTTATTGCTCCTCTTGTTGGGTATGGAGGTCCCGATCCCACCATAGCTTTTAATTACTTCGATTACAATTACTTCGATTTACTCCTTGCAGTTCATTTCATTTATAAACTGATTCCAAATTTTCGAATCAAGTGGGACACATATTTATAATGTACTTTCTTCACTGTCTTTGCATCTATATTGTTGAAGTCCCACTTATTATGAGATGCATTGTATGGGATGCTAAGATTGGCGCAGGTTAATGTGAAGAAGAAAGCACGAGTATCTAATGTCGCTTTTACTTAAATGTATTTTCGAGTTTGAATTGATATATTCGTTTTATGTACAGCGTGCGATTGTGATCTGGGTGGCTCATTGGACGATGGTATCTGCGATTCTAGAACGGATGTTCTCAGCGGAGACGAGTCTGGTCGCTGTCATTGTAAAACGAACGTGGAAGGACGTCGTTGTGATCGTTGCAAAAATGGCTTTTGGAACTTTGAGCCTGAAAATCCTGAAGGATGTCAAGGTAAGGTCGTCCTAACAATATAGATTTAAAACACTTTAAAAACTATTATTTTCACAACATTCTTGGTAAAACCTTATCATTTAATAGTTTAATTTGTAGATTGAGTAATTTTTCGATCGTATAGAATCAACAAATTTCGTCTTAGACCAGACGATTAATATTCTGTAATTTAAACTAATAATTCAAACTATATAATTAAACTAATAATTTAAACTAATATCAATATTCTGATATGCAAAGATTTTTCGGTGAAAATAGGGATCATTAAATAAATACATAACTAGAAAAGAATTATACTAACCGAACGCATACTTTCGAGGTACCAATTAACTGTGAAAATTTTCACGTAATTCCTATTTATACACGTTTATTATCTTTACGTTTATCATCTCGTGACGATAAATGTTTTTCAATTTCGAAATAAAATTCGCTGTCTGGTCGAATAAATGTGACAGCCTACTGTAAATGAATTTTCTGAATCATTCTACAGACGATAGGATATAGATTTGAAATTTAGTATTTTTATTTATTTTATTAGACCGATGTTTGATAATTCTTTTATTCGTTAAGCCTGTACCTGTAATACTTTGGGCACCATCGACAACCGTGGATGCAACATGGCCACCGGCGAGTGTACTTGCAAGCGTTTCGTAACTGCTCGGGACTGTAACCAATGCCTGCCAGAATATTGGGGATTGTCGGAAGATCCAGACGGTTGCAAACCGTGCGACTGCGATCTTGGTGGCTCATACGAGAATTCGTGCGACGTTGTGACTGGTCAATGCCGTTGCAGGCCTCACATTAGCGGCAGAACGTGTAATCAACCGGAACAGAGCTATTACACTGGCTCTGTGGACTTCTTGATCTACGAGGGCGAGTTGTCGAGAGCCACCGACGTGAGTACAGTAGACTCCCGATAACTGCGCATGCTGGATAAATACCCATTAAGAATGCCTCTTGCTCACATGCGTTACTTACACACAGTGTTGCCAGATTGTTTATACGATTCTCGTAAACACAGTTGTCTAGAATCACCCAGTCTGTTCTTATTATTCAATGAAACAATAATGTACTTTAAATAGTTAATATATTTCTGAAGTTTCGATTGATGAAAACAGGATAGATTGTTGGCCAGCAATAGCTAGTTTTAGTGACATTACATAAATGTTTTTGTACTAATTGTTTAGTAACTTATTTCCATATTTTACATCTGCGTGTAAAATTGAATGATTCCTTAGTATTCAGAATAAGATTTAGTTAAAGTATGGAACACAATTTCCACTTTATTTTAACACAATTATTGCATAGGTATTCATTGGGTGATACTATCTTAAAATAAATCTTACTAGATGAACTATTATTGTAGAATTTATATACACATTTGTAAATACAACAAATTATCGAAAATAAATGTTTCATTTCGTGTCGATTTGACCTCGATAGAACGGTTAATCTGCCGGTAAGGTGTGTATAACATTTCTAACATTAGTCGATTACTTTTACAGAATTGTCAAGTGGTAATCAGAGAACCGTATCGCGACGGAAAGAACAGCACCTGGACGGGAATTGGATTCATGAAGGCACTGGAGGGTTCGATGCTGAACTTCACGATCGACGATGTACGGAAAACGCTGTGGTACGAGGTGATCGTCCGTTACGAGCCCGTTCAACCAGGAGTTTGGGAGGACGTAAAAATCATCATCGAAAGGGACGGTCCAGTGGATCCCAACGGGCCATGCGCCGAATGGAATCCAGAATACGATCAGCTGTCGGCGCAATTGCCAGTTCGTTCTCGAAGTGTTGTCGCTCAACCTGCTGTTTGCCTCGAGGCGGGAAAACGCTATAATCTTCTGTTGCAATTCCGGAAGTTCAACAGTCACGTGGACACACCTTCGGCGTCCATTTTGGTTGATTCGGTATGTTAACAATAACGACTTTTTAAATTTGAATTTTTTAATTACAAGAACATGTAATCACTAAATTCCTATTTTTTCAAGGATCGTTATAGATTCAATTTTTTTAAACGTTATTTATTTAGACCAGCAATTTCTTTTACGCGATTAATAGTTACGAAACTCCAGATATTTATGGAAAATCACGTTTTTGGAGATTAATTTGCAAAAGCAGAAATTTGACAGAATTGTTGACTCACGTATTAAAAAATAAGGAAAATTGTATTATACTATTTCCATTTCTTAAATCGTCATATTTAAAGTGTAAAACTGTTATGATTTATTAATGTATTAACGTCAATTTAATGTCCTTTGTTTAGATTGTATTGAGGCCAAGAATACAGTCGATACCATTCTTCAAAGCGCCAGGTGTTGGCGAGCTTCGCCGCCAGGAATATGAAAAATACCGTTGCAGCGATTACTTTAACGACATTTCTACTGCATGGACTAATGTTCCTGATGTTTGTAAAAAGTACCAGAATAGTATCGGTTACTATGTTTACGACGGTGCACACTGTAAGTAATACCATTAGTACAAAGTAAAACGGTATAAATTATATAATTTATGATGATCTTTTTTCAATGAAATGAGCAAAAATAACGAATTTTTATGTCTCGTACTCTTCAAACAAGTTTGAAACGAGTGGAATGGATAGACAGCACACATAATTTCTCGTTGGCTACTCTATATTTCAACCTTATCAAAATCCTTAATACCAAGTTCAAAAAGTGATCGATTTGGAATGACTCTTGTGTCACACGTGAAAATCTACTAAATATTACCGAATTTCTTATTTTCTAATACAGTTTACAACACAATGCTTTCGATCTGCCTTGTATTTTTTAAGTAAAATGAAGACTTAACACCCTACATTTATTACCCCTTAAAGGCCTGCTAAAATCTAGGAAAACTGTAAAAAAATACCGCCTTTTTTAGGATCCGTGATTTGGACCAATTGCAACTATTTCAAAACTTTTCACACACATCATTTAGTAAACTAATCTTTCTAACATCACAAAAAAAAACTCGAGTTACTTGGTCCACTGTTAAAAAAGTTGTTCTGTTTTAGAGCGTGCAAAGACTTTTTCGACTAAGTGTACGTAATATTACGTTTCCTCACGGTAGAATTAAATTCCAGTGATTCCTCGATGAATACGACACGAGCAACGGCGTTATTCCCACCACTGGGGGGATCGCTCCCTGGAATCAATAAAAACTGGTAAAAAACAAATTTACGAGCGGCTGAATACCTTTCCATGAATGCTTCGAAGCGGACCCGAGTACATCGCACTCATCGAAACATTACTATATGTAGAAAAAGGATTAGAAAAAATGAGAAAGATAATACGACTACAACAATATAAATGATGGGAAACTTGGACTAATGTTCAAAAGCCGAAAGTAGTGAAGTTAAAAGTCCTTCGTAATACAGAAGAAAGATGGTCATATCTTTAGCAAACGTAATATTACGGAGTGGAATTTCAGAACCGTACACAACCAACATAACACAGTAATGTCTCGATAAGTGCGACATACTTGGATCCACTTCGGAGCATTCATGGTAAAGCGGAAAAGTTCTCAGCCCCTCCTAAATTTTTTTTTACACGAAACCAAGTCTCTTTTTACCTTCTGTTTAGTTTATTTTGATTGGTTCCAGAGTGGGGACTCCCCAAGTGGTTGAGAATAACGCCGTTATTCGTGTCGCATTAATCAAGTAATCACTATATTACGAAGCTGGCGCTCAAGGGGTTTAATCTTATTAATCTTACAAATGCCTTGTTATATTTTCGTTTCAGCCTGTGAATGCAATCCAACGGGATCCCATAGTCTGCTTTGCGAAAACTACGGGGGCACGTGTCCCTGTAAGCCGAACGTGGTCGGCAGACGATGCGACCGTTGCGCGCCTGGAACCTACGGTTTCGGTCCAGAAGGTTGCATACCCTGCGACTGTGACGGTGTCGGTGCATTGGACAATTTCTGCGAGGTCGGAACCGGTCGTTGTAAATGCCGTCCGAATACCTACGGACGAACCTGCGGTCAATGCGAGCCTGGTTTCTGGAATTTCCCGCATTGTCAACGTTGTGAGTGCAACGGTCACGCTGAAAGCTGCGACTCGAAAACTGGCGCGTGTATCGAGTGCCGGGACTACACCACCGGGCACAATTGCGATCGATGCATCGAGACGTATTACGGTGATCCCAGGATCGGCGTGGATATCCCTTGCAGGGCGTGTCCTTGTCCAGGTAAACGGAATTCGAGTTCGTGCATTGCTTGGTCAGGGCAATTGGGCTCGATAGGAACCACAGACGAATGAGACATTTCATCCAATGTATTTTTGCGGCCCACTTTTCTGGGGTTACGTACCCCATTTCCATTTTAGTGTCACTATCCACCGCAGATTCACCGTTCTCGAAACGTAGAGGTCGCTAAAATCATATTTAGTGTCACTACCCACCGCAGATTCACCGTTCTCAAAATGTAGAGGTCGCTCAAATCATAGGCTTTTTAAGGTGTCGGTACTACAGTTTAGGTGGGCCACCAACTCCCATAAAATGAAAGGTTCATTCTTATACCTTGTCAGCGGTAGGAACTGACTGCGAAATTGTAGAATACAGTATACTCGCGATAAATGCCCGTTAGGAATCCCCGTTAAGTGGCGTTTACACTAGGCAACTTTTGATCGGTCGACCGAGTCGATCGACTTGAAGTCGTACGACTAAACTGTTTACATTACAGAAGGCTTTGTTATCCTACTTTTTTATTAGTAAAGATGCTGAATAATGTGCCGCGTGAAAAGGTCATACGTGTAGTTGCAATGAGTTTGCTAGGCGAGTTGAGAAAAATCATTAGTCGGAGAATTAACTTTTGTTTGGAACATTTTTTCGTATAACAAACAGTTCACAAGCAATTTCGGTGGTACACTTAGCAGAATCACCATGTATATTATTCGGTTCACAAATGTTTGTATTAACATTCAGGAACCTTGGATTCTGGCCACTCGTACGCCGAGAGCTGTTCCCTGGACCCAACCAGCCACGATGTAATCTGCGAGTGTTTCGACGGCTACACTGGTCCACGTTGCGAGAGCTGCGCAGAGAACTACTTCGGCAACCCAGAGGTGCCAGGTGGCAGTTGCGAGCCCTGCAACTGCAACAACAACACAGACCTACGTCGACCTGGAAACTGCGATCCCCACACGGGTCGTTGTCTGCAGTGTCTCTACAGCACAGATGGTGGCAATTGTCAGATCTGCAAGGCAGGCTTCTACGGGGATGCGCTTCAACAGAATTGTCAGATGTGCGACTGCAACCCGTTGGGAACGGACAGCGAGGCTGGTCCCTGTAACCATCGAACTGGACAATGTCCCTGCTTGCCTCACGTGGTCGGACAACTCTGCGATTCCTGCGAAGAGAATCATTGGAAAATCGCCAGTGGCCAAGGCTGCGAGCCTTGCTTGTGCGACTCGGTTGGAAGCGTTTCTGACAGGTATTTGTGATATCGAGATACTACGGAATAGACTGTGAATGTTTATGCAAATTTTATGTATCGATTCCTCGAAACTGGGCCCAACGAAAAATTGATTTAACCTGTCAAGGTTTCCATAATTCTCCCAAAATTTTCGAAAACATCGATATTTTTTGTTCAAATAACTACATATTTTTTCCTATTGCATGCATTGTTCATGGATAACATACATTCAGACATCTACTATGATATGACCTTTAAATAACCTATAGTTATTTAAAAAAAAACATCGATGACCTTGAAAACTTCTAGAAGAAACAAGGCCTGCAGTATACTGACCACTTAATACCATTCATATTACGTGTCAAATATTTTTTTCATTTTCATAATTAAAAAAGATTTTTAGTGTCGTCCAGAGTTACGGAAACCCCTCATATATCTCTTAGAATACTAGATTCAAAGAGAGAAAACCCCATGGTAATTCTTAATTATCACGTTCCCCGTAAAAGAGCTGACCAATCGGTTATTCGGCCCAAAATCAGCCAATAAATTCTTCAATCCTTTTTTTCTCTTCCTGTTGAACAGGTGCAATCCATTCGACGGTACTTGCGAGTGTCGATCAGGCTTCGGCGGTCGACAGTGCAACGAGTGCCAAACGAACTATTGGGGTAATCCGACCGTTCAGTGTCACGCTTGCGACTGCGATCTGGCCGGTTCCTCCAGCCAACAGTGCGACAGGGAGACCGGTATGTGCGTCTGTAGAAAGGGTATTGGTGGCGAGAAATGCGACCAGTGTTACCGTGGCTACTACGGGAACGCGCCACAATGTACACCCTGCGGCGAGTGTTTCGATAACTGGGACATGACGCTGACCGGTTTGAGGAACAAGACGAACCTGGTCATCGACGAAGCGTCTAGGATCCAAAAAGTCGGTACAACTGGGGTTTACAGCGAACAGTTCGACAACATGATCACCTCTTTGGACCAAGTGAAGGCGTTGATCAGCAACGCATCCATCAGAAGTCAAGACTTGGACGATTTGAACGAACTGGCCGAGGAGCTGAACAAGAACGTGACTGAGTCTGGCAAGCAGCTGCAAGAGGCGAACAATCTTCTGGAGAACGTCAGTCAAAGGGTCAATTTAGGGGACGCTGCGTTGAAGAATCTGAAGAACAGAACGAACAATTTGCACCAAGCTGCTGCTGATCTCAAGGAGAACGCGACTAGATTGCAGGAAGAGAACGTTCAGGGCGCTTTGAATGTGACCCAACAGATGGCGGAGCAGTCGAGGCGGGCAGAGAAAATGGCGAACGACACCAGCAACGTTCTGGCGGACGCCGAACGGTTCAGTAAGCACACGGAGACTCTTCTAGCCAAAAATCGGGTGTTCGTCGAAGAGACTCAGGAGGCGAATAAAGAATCTCTGGCGAAAATAAACGAGAAACTGAGAATGTTCAACGATATTATGCCTGGTTTGAACCTCCAAATGTGCGGCGATAATGTTACGGATTGCAGCAGCGTGTGTGGTGGAGCTGGTTGCGGATTCTGCGGAGGATTGTCTTGCGACGCGGGTGCTGTGACCAAGGCGAACCAAGCTTTGGACGTCGCTAAGACACAGGCTGCTAAAATTAAGACCCATAAGGATGCGGCTGAACAGTTACTTCATAGTGTGAGTTGTTGCATTTTGTTGTTCCTAGGTGTAAGACTACCAGCAGAACAATAACTGTTAGTTCTGATCCGCTTTCACGAGAGCATTCATTTTAGATCAAAGAAGGGTTAAAGCTGAATCTCTAAGATACCAAATAGGAGAACAAACTTGTTTCATGTTGCAACGTTTATTCTCTATTCTTACTTTTTTCTCTAGTCTTCTTTTCTGTTCTTTTTTTACTCTTTAACTCTATTCACCTAATTATATTAGTTATAACTTTTTGGACGTATTATCCCGTCAGTCTCGAGTGGGTTAACAAATCATCAACCTTCGTTGCTCTGCAATCAGAGCAAGTCTAGCCGCGTACTAACTACAAGCTTCTAAATCGTAACTTTAGGGACACAGCTTAATTATCCATCTTCCACTTCCATCCTTCAGATGATCCAGGTGAAACGGGATGCAGCAACGGCCAGATCCAACGCCCAGGACGCGTTCAACTTCGCCTTGAGGGCGCGAAACCTCTCCGACAACGTGACCAAAGACCTAGCCGACATAAACAAACGGATCAAAAGCACCCTGGACGAGGATCAACCGACGCCAACGATGGTCAGAGACCTGGCGAACAAAGTTCTAGCCAAGAACATCCAACTGAAACCAGACGAGATTACGACACTGGCCGATCGCATAAAGACCATCGTTGGTTCTCTGACCGATTCCGAGAAGATTCTCGCCGACACCAGGAATGATCTTCTCCTGGCGGATCAGCTGAAGAAACGGGCAAACAGGGCCAAGGAGAACGCTATCGAGAACCAGGTTCAAGCTAACAAGGTGGTGGTGCTGTTGAACGACGCTGAGAAGGCTCAGAATCTGGTCCAACAGGCCATCGATCAGGCGGAACGTGACGTCTACCGATCGAGGAAGGACCTGGAGGAGATCGCAGAGGTCACCAGGGGCGCTCTGATGCAGGCGAACAGTACCACACAGACTGTGGATGACCTGGACGCTCGATTGAAGCAGCTACAGACCCAATCAGTGAGGAACGACTTTGCCCAAATCGGTGTCCAGGCGCAGAAAGTTGCTGACGAGGCGCAAAACGTCGACGCAAAAACCAAGAAGCTCGCTGAGGAGTACAGACGGGTGGACGAGTCGTTGGAACTGCGCGTGAACAAGAGCAAGGACAATATACAGAGGGCGAAGAAGCTGCTGCAGAGAGCCTCAGAGTTAACCGCCGACACCTCCACGAAATTCAAAGACCTAGACGGCATGGAGAGCGTTTACAGGGACAATGAGAGGACGCTGTCCGACCTGATGACCGAAGTAGACACTCTGACCGGGGAAATGGAGAAGCATCTCGTGGAGATCGAGCAGAAGGCACAACTGTACAGACAGTGCACCTCTTGAGGACCTAATTGGGATCCGTCAAATCCTGTGGGGGGGGGGGGGGGGATTCTTTGATTATTGGTCTGACCAAGTATCTTCAAGGTATTTTCATTTCTGGGATTGTATAAATTTATAATTTCCAATCTTTGCACTTTACGTGCTTATATGGGAGGATTCTTTACTTGGTCTGACACACGTCTTCACGGTAGTTTCTTTTCTGGAATTGTATAAACTGGGAATTTCCAGGTTTTGCACTTTACGTGGTAACAGGGGAGGGAGATTCTTTGCTTGGTGTGACAAGTATCTTCAGGGTACAGTAAATTATCGATAAGTGTTCGAAGGCTCCTCGGCACTGAATATTCAAACGTTATCCCCGCCCACTGGAGGTGGGAAGCTTGAATCAGACAAGCGCCTAGTAGTGGGGATGACGTCTAAACACTCAGTGCCGAGAAGCCTTCGAACACTCATCGATGATTTACTGTACTTTCTATTCTGGGATTGAATAGACTAGAAATTTCCAATTTTTGCACTTTGCGTGCTAATACAGATGCCTTTTTGAAAATTTCTGTCGAGAGCTCGTTAAATGTGAGGGACACCTGTATGGGTATCGAATAAGTATCGTTACCGATAATTCAATTTCACCAATGTCAAACTTTCCGTGATAATGTAATGGTACTTTAACCTGTGAATGGAAAAGATTGAATATAGATTATAGGTACTTCACCCTCGCATGACTGACGTGAAGGCCGATGGCCGGGTCACACGTGACCCCTACTAGACCCTATATAATACTACTTAAAAATATTACATTTGTTTGCAAGAATTTGTAAAAAAATAATGTATAATTTGCATTTCCGTGAAAATTAATTTTTGTTCATTCGTCAGACATATCCTCGTTCCTCAAAGCATCGAGGCATATTAAACGAAATGACCCAGCCATAGTTATGCGAAGGTTAATAAATTTGTAATCGGAGGAACTACGAATATGTGTCACGATTTCAGATTTGAGAAGAATCTCTTCAGTGCCATAATTGCTAACGATGGGGCCACTTAATTGTTAGAGGCGTGTTGTATGTCTATAAATATTTATAAGGAACGATTTCGAACGTCCAATGAAACACTTTTGATACTTACTTTTCACGTATTATCCATGAAAAAAACTAGAATTATCGAGGGAATCATTTTTTTCTGCGTCCATTACTGCTTGTATGAAGAACTGGATGATGTAAAAACGGAACGGAAAGTAATTTATAACTGAATCTGTAATTTTTTAATGACACTGAATCGCGGCATACGTTTCTTACTTTGAGAACCTCTCCCGAATTGGCCATTGAGAAGTATGCGGAGAGTAGTATCGTTGATCTGATGAGTCAGAGATGCGTGATGAAAACGAATTGATAAGAGCATAAATGCCTTTCCACCCGGGGATACTGCAGGTCCTTTAATTCGAGAGACTGCTTTAATAGGGCGTAATTAACAATCTGTCGAACTTTGATCCCAACGGTTCAGAATGCTCTGCAAGATTTTTGAAATAACGTTCTACTAAACAAGTAGTCACCATTCCAATAAACAATTCTTATATCATCTGTATTGAGAAAATTTTACGTTAAAAATCATTTTAAGGAATATTAGAATACTGTTGAAACATTTCTAATTGCTACATATTAATTGTTGATAGTTCCGAAAGCATTTAAGTTCTTAGCAGTGAATTTTTTGTTCATCAATCAGTGGCTAACAGAATCGTGTTAACAATCATTTTTACGCAACTTGTTACCGCAGAAAGCCGAATATTACTCAAGAAAATGTGACTGAACTAGTTGTAGCGCACAGATGAATCGTCACTATTGACAATTCACGCACAATAGATTCTATTGTCGTGTAATGTAGCAAAATGAGTTTGCTGTACTTATACGATATATGTACGTTTCATTTATGAAGGAAACTTTAACTGGACACAGTGCAATAGTTAGTATGAGGTAAACAGAAATTTTGTTATCCTCGATAGCCTGTAAATACACCAGTATGCCTTTTTATAGTTGGTCACTAATGTGTTCGGTCAGCTTGAATATTAAGTAAATTTCACACAAAACGGTAGGTTGGTAAAGAAACAAAAATGATATTAAACGACACATTTGTTAGTTTACTGTTTCATTAATGTTATACTAATATCAAATGTTCTATAAAATCTTCTGGTTATAAATACACATCACCTACTCTATATAAAAACTGTTTATATACAGTGTAATTTTTCTTACTAATCTAATTATCACATTACAAATTCAGTTTCTTTTAAAGTCTTCCTATCTTAACTTTAAATAGATCTATTAAAAGATCATTCTTTTCAACAAGACACTTCTATATTCCAATTTTTTTAATTATAAATGGTTTTTTGTCGTATAAATTCGTCGTCTATTTTTTTAAGGTTACTAATACAAATTAGAAGTTTACTAAAATAAAATTTAGAAGTCAATGATGCCCGTCAATACTAGGAGTTCGGTGAACACTTTTGTGACCAACTATATTTCCTTTTTTTTTATATACCTTTTTAATAATGATTTTTTATATGATCGCAAGTAGGAACATCTTTCCCGGAGTTCATGGAAAAATATTTAAAAAAAAGATCACTAGGAACATTTAAGATCATAACAATTTTTAAACGAGTTTGTAATACAAATTTTATATATTTTTAATAAATACTCGTGCGTGTGAATAATTGTACACGCACGGAGGTTATTACTATTATGAAATGAATGAAAATTTCTGAAACAATCGAGATTTCTGTAAAAATCTATAGTTATTAAAACTGAAGAATTTTGCAAGTTTTGCGATGAAAGAAACACAGGACAATTTTTAGAGACGTAAAAAAGAAAAAGAATTCCCTAATCGAAGGGGATTATAGTTATTTATAGATCGATATTATAGAATTACAAACGACGCATTGATATTGTCAGCGGTGGCCATTATCGAATTATCTGCTTTTGTCCAGGGGAGAAATGGCGCAACGCTATAATTAAACCAAAAGTTTTTAATTGTATTTAATATATAGTTACGTTTATGCGATAATAGAGAATTATATATATGAAAGAAATAAATAAAATTGAGAAATTAGCAAACAAGTAACTCAATTTACTGTCACCGTATAAATCATCTTCAATAAGATACATAATATATATTGCGAAGGGAAGTTTGATGATCACTAATAAATAAAAGATGAATTTCTATGTTTGTAAATAGACATAGAAATAAATTTAAAAATTGTTCGGAACACCTTTAATATTACTGTCCTCGAATTTTACAACTTGAAATTTTGTAAATGAATCTATAAATACATTTAAACAGTAAAATTAATGTTAATACATGGATTTCGTAGACTTAAATAGTGAAGAGTACCAATAATAAATACGCTGCTTTCGGTACGAGCATTCTATTTACATTGGTATTTGTGACAAAATCAAGAAGAAGAGTCTTATCTGACGCAAAACGATAAATTTTTGATAATGAAAATATACGAAAGTTTGTGGGTTTATATATGATAACAGTATTTCCTCAGCATGCTATTTTATCGTTGGTAAAAAGATGGAAAAGGCTCGCCGGAAATATGGGACCAGGAACGATAAAATGGTCAGGGTATTAAGCACTTCCTCCCAAAAAACCGTTTTTGAAATAAAAATTATCTATCTAGAATTATCATCATCAATTTATCGTTTAAAAAATAAAAAAAAATATAGTGAACATTTCTAAATCATATACACCGAGAGAAGAAAGTATTTACACCAGCGATTCTAATTATTAATTGACAATGTTACTTTCAGTATATTAGTAAGTTAAAAAATTATTTTCTTCCGATTATTCCATAATAATTTAGTTTTCCATCAATGGTATAGTCTGATAAACTTATTCTTACACTGGAAACAGTATTATTAATCGATAGTAGGATGTCACTGGTGAATAAAAACTTTTCTGCCACTGTATGTATATAAAAAATGAAAATTTATTTTATGTACATTAAAGTGAAAAACAATAACCAAGAACTAAATATATTACAAACATTAATAATATAGTATAATAGAACATAATATTCGAACGTTCTACTATGCGAATAGAGTATCTATTTTCTTCTATTAGATCGAATTCTACGTAATTATTTATGTTAAACAAATTTCTGTAATGTAGCAGTCAAAAAGATGGAGGATCTATAAATATCTAAATAAATTGCCAATTTTCTTAATCTCCATTTAAATGTATGAAGTTTAGTATCAGAAAAGTGTCTATTCCATTATCCGAACATTTTTGTCTACCGATTAATTCGGATATGGGAGGCTCTATTGTAGCTAAAACTACAATACCGTTGAGAATTATTCGATCGATGTGACTTTTGGAGTTCACGACAATGTTTATTTAGACTTAGGTATAAATTTTATGGCCCTTAGCCGATGATAAATCTTATTTAGGGAACAGGGCCAATCGTTTTTGCCAGCTACTTGCCATAAATGTATAATAAATAATATGTGCCAGTAATAGGCCGTCTTTTGTGACCACTATGAACGGTATTTCCGCTAATTTCGTACTCGTTAACCATATGTACCAGAGAAATGTTTTCCGTTTTATTGTTTCCCTAAGACCGTGTCCCTACCATAGGTCTTATAAATACGAAATTCACCTTTTACAAAATCAGTTCCTATTCGTCCCTTGACAAAACAACATCCGCTCTAACATGCTGGAAGTGCCGAAAAACGTTCTGCAGTGTATGTTCTTCGTGGTGAAAGCTAATCGATCGGTGATATTGCAAATAAACTAAAAGATATCGAAAAAGCAGTGTGTGTGGAATATCAAGAAGATAGAAACCACCGGTAGTGTAATGGATAGACGGTTCTTTGTGTTTTTCTAAATTAATCGTGGTGTTTGAATACTTTCGAGCGGTACTGTATATCAGAATTGGGCAAAATGTAATCTAATTACAAAATCTAAATTGCATTTACAATGTAATTGCGTTGTAATTACAGGACATTTACAATTACATT